TATAAACGAACGATGACAAATGAAAAATTTCATTTTCAGTATTGCCTTTATATATTTAACTCAAAAGCTGTATTGTATTTTAATAGATGTACAATGGTCAGAGTGTCATGCATAAAATATGTGTAAGAGGTGGATATATAAAATACGTAGTAACAGCTAAACCACAATCGTCTCTACTGTCTGTAATAAAACATTGAGGACTTTGCGTTTTTCTTTATACAGGTACTACCTACAGCTGTAATACAACCGATACCCAGTGTGTGGCACTGACATGCAGTTCCCAGGTCATCATTGCAGTTGTTGTAACAGCACTTGTCCTTGTCCTTATCCTTATCCTTGTGGGCGCAGTGGCTATCATCATACGGTAAGTTCTAACAAACTCTTTGTTTTGTTCATTTGCTGTTTATCACCATAATTAACAGTATCCTAGGTTTATGACTATGGCCTATACATAACTCACGATCAGACAATAATTGCCAATCAATCAGACGATCCATTGATTCATATCATGGACATCGATCCACAAAACAGGGACAGTGTGACAGCAGCAGTCATATTAACCATCAGACCCCAATAATCGTGACAAAGTACAGCCCTCAACTAAAGAGCATAGTCCCGCTTACAGTGATGAAAAGCTTGTAGGGCAAAGTTACGTGAGTCATGGTTAAAGGAAACTTGAGTATAGTTTAGGCTAAGCGGTTAGTATTTCAGAGTTTGTCTCCATGTTACGTACCTCGAAATTGTAAAGATTTGCCATTTTCATGCGTCTCCGCCAGCGCACAATTTCGTTGTCCCGTGCAAATCTGGCTAGAAATTGGTATTCAGCAACCCATGCCAGACAAAAAAGGTTGAGCAGTTTTAAGACTGTCACAGGTCGTGCAGTGACCTATCGGAGGTACAACCCCCTTGTGTATCAATTTCATGATAAATCATGTTCAATGAAAACCTACACTTCTGGACATTTGGAGAGAGAGAGAGAGAGAGAGAGAGAGAGAGAGAGAGAGAGAGAGAGAGAGAGAGAGAGGGGAGTGGAGGGGAGAGAGGGGGAGAGAGATTTTATTTACGTCTCACCCCGTTACAAGATACATTGCAATATATATTATAAAAACATCGGGCCACTCCGTACAGAGTTATGAGAGACGGTATATATACAAGTATTTACAAGTGATAGAAACTGAATCTTCTCGATAAAACCTAATTGGTACATGTTACTGATATAAAACATATTTTCTCTTTTTCAAAATACTATGGCAGGTTTTGGCACTTTCAGAACATAAAGTTTCATTAGATAAGATAAAAGCAGTTTTCCGAATATTGATAAAATCCGGACAAATTCTAAGACAGTTATCAATTAGATTCTTTCGCTCGACACTGTACACTGGACAATCAAGTAAAACGTGGCATTCGTCCTCAATTACATTCACACAATTAAAACATTTCTCTCTTGTAGAGGGATGTTGGCTTGACTGCCCAGTTCAATACTGACTGGTGCTGTGCCACATCTAAACTTTGCCAATGCACCTCTATGTGCTCGTGGGATGCTATGACAGACATTATATGCTGGAGTAAAACATGTCTGAAAAGCAGAATACAATCTCAGCTTATTACCTCCCTTTCGGGACGGACCTTGTGGCTGTAAAATACTTTCTCTCCACTGCGTGACATGCCTTTGATACAACACAGCTCGTACCTCTGACGAAATAAAATGCATATTAAAACAGTTATGCACAGGGATAAAATAGGCTAGTCCTAATTCCGACAACTTAGTATGTATGCGGAAGTTTCAATTGTGTTTACGGCGGGTCGCCCATCGATCACTCCATAAAAAATATTTCTTTGGTAATACGACTAAAATGCAGGTTACATAAACGTTTAGAAAATCTTACAGTACTTCCCCACTGGCGTACAACTGGGGGTATCCACGCCATTTCACCATTGACAGCCTGATTTGGGGCATACTTTTTACGCCCCAGGAAGAAACGCATAGCACGATTTTGGACAGCATTAGTCCCATATACATGAACCATAGTCCAGAATGGACCATACCATTGTATCATACAGGTTAGTGAACGTAGGCATACAGGTTAGTGAACGTAGCCATTCCATTCCACCAAACAATTTGTATTTAGATATCAAAAAGGCCAAGCGCCCTACTGGCCGAATTAGCTGCAGATTTGGCCATCCTAGCGTAATCTAAATATTCTGTGAGAAGCAAACCTAGGTAACAGTAACTCTCAACATTTTCTAAAACACTCCTTTCACACATAAATATGATACTTGCTTTTGGTACAGTCTGTGATCTAAAGTGAATTACTTTCGACTTTGCACTATTAACAGTCATTCTGTTTGAAACACACCAGCTATGCAAGCAGTCGAGTAGGATATTAAGATCTTCTTCCTTCTCAGCAAACAAAATGATATGCCAGATTTCCCATTGTATTATTATCTATAGATACACCTATATTGAGAGCGTCTATTGTGCGTAACAAATCATCAATATACAGGTTAAACAGGAGTGGCGAGAGCAAACAGCCTTGTTTCAAACCGCATGTAACATTGAAAAGGGGTGTCAGAAGACCGTTAAGTCTCAGCATATTGCCATTTATGCCGTTGTTTTTGAGTTTCTCCCAAAACACGTTTCGATCTATGCAATCATAGGCCTTTCTTAAATCAATAAAAGCGACATATTGAGATTTCTTAATTCCTTTTGCGTGTTTCTATAATGGAGGTGACACTACATACGTGTTCCTGGGTGGATCTACCCTTCCTGAACCCGTTCTTTGAGTCACTAACAAGCTGGTTATTTTCTGCAAACGATGTGCGTGTGTTAGTTAGTATACCACAGTACAGTTTGTAACAAGAACTTTCAAGGTTGATGCCTCTGTAAGCCAGGGGATCCCTAGGGTCATCAGTCGATGATTTAGGTATGCATGGCATGGCGCTCTTCGACCACATTGATAGAACTATGCCATAGAGAAAAGACTGATTAAATAGTCTATGGAGGAACACCAAAGTGTTGTCATTCTTCAGTCCTTCTGTTTGGATCTCGTCTAGGCCAGGTGATGTACCTCCCTTCGCAGATAGCAATACTTGCCTCACCTCATCAATAGATGTAGGTTGGTTCAGTTCACTATCCTGATCACCCTCGGGACAGGGAAATCGATCAGGATTCACACTAACATTACAATGTAAAAGATTAGAATAAGCTGATTTCCAGGACTTTAAAACAGTCTCCTTATCTGTGCAGATAGACCCGTCTTCTAAACGCACCTCCATAGGAATCTGTTTCTATCTCTCGTGCCCAACTCCAACCTTACCAATTGTTTTCCAACATTCACCCGAATTATTTTCACATAGTTTATCTAGGTTTTGAATTGTTTTAATCTGAGAATCTCTCTTGACCTTTTTTACCCGTCTGTCGAAGTATTTACGCTTCTGGATATACACATGTTTAAAAAGTCCCTACTGTACACCTTTGCTTTTACACCACTGCTTCTCAGCTTTACACAGTTCATTCCATAACTCAGATAGTTCATTAGTCCACCATTCCTTTCGACTTGTCCGTCTCTCATTACTACGGACTCCACCAAATAATACAGTCCTAGTGGGAAGAGTGTTATGCATCTCACTCCGGATACATTCTTAATAATCAGTAAAAGCATAGCCAACATTAACCTGTGTTGACTGGGAAGATTCAAGAGAAGCAATAATGTCAGCAATTTATTCAGAGATATCAGACGAAGTCATGAAAGTATTTGAAAGAAGAAAGAAGATTGGACACGTCACATACAATTTTCTTTTCCGTTTCTGGTTCCATTTGCCTCGTAGGCGGAGATTCATCGTACATAATGTTAAGTTTCCAAGTCAGGAAGGGATTATCTAACTTAAGTACAGATTGTGGGTTCACTGTGCTGACACAGTCACTCGAATCTGCGATTTCAGTGGGTCGAATTGCCTTAAAATCGCTAAGTTCGTTTAGGTCTTCGTATGCACAGAGACAGTAGTCCACAACCGATGTTCCTCTGGGAGACACGTACGTAAAATCGTTATCACACTGCACTCTTCCGTTAAGAATACAATAATTGGCATTAATTAAATAGTCAATGAACAAACGGCCTTGTGCATTCACAGTGTTATCTAAGATTTCTCTGTCAGGTAGTTGATCAACACCTTCAATGTAATCCAACAAGCCACCACACCGGCTGTTAAGATCACCACATATAAACGTTGTGCCAGGTCGGTGATAGGTCGCCAATTGCGCTAAAAGACAGTCATAAAATTCACTGGCATCAATCTGACGTGTGGAATTTTCAGGCGGTAAGTAACATACACGGGTAACAATTACAAGATTAGAATTGGACTTACACACTAATTTCAACCATAGAATGCCTTCATATGAACAGTCTATAATACACACATGAAAATATTTCAACAAATCATTTTTTTATGAAAAACCCAACCCCTCCCGAACCACATTTAGCACGAACATGTTTGTGTTTTCTATTATGTCAATACCACACATAACCTTCAACTACAATAATTCATTGTCTTGTAAATGCGTTTCCGCTACACCAATAATGTCCAGATTTGATGATATAATGATGCTAATGATGATATAATGATGATATGTGAGCGTAGAATATAGTAACTGTTATCAGAGCCATAATTACAAGAAAATCTACAAACATTCCAAAACCCGCATGCTACATATCGTGAGTGTCGATAGGCTCTGTCATTGATGTCGCCGTCACATGTGTCACTCGCGCGTCACATGACTCTTGTTGATAAACACAACCACGTGGAGTTCTACTCATGCGATTTCTACTGTAATGTTCCCGCATGTTGTACCCTTCTCTGTCACCCCGGCGGCTGCGATCGCTGGGTCTTCTATGTGAGGTGTTATTTGGGAGCCTGTGCTGCTCCTCATCTTCCACTCGCTGCAGATTCCTGTCGTGTAGTCTCAGTTTTCCATCACCTATAGTATCCACTAGTACTTTCATATTGCTTTCCATGATCCTTCATTCAAGCGGTTGGTCGTTCTGTATATAAACATCTTTAAAGCTTCTGCTGTTTCTGTGTTGTTTCTTTTCTTCCAGTATAATCTTCTTTTCTTCTTCTGATCTGCAGGTAGCGACGATAACGCCTGGGTATCTTCGGTTTTGAGAGGTCTTTCCCACAGGACTAGCAATCTCAACGTCACACAACTTCAAACCGCTTGTGATGACTTCATTCACTTTCGATAGGACATTTTCGTTACTGGATTCAATCACATTTTTCAGGATGATCTTCAGCTGACAATTGCGATCTTTTGCTGCTTCTGCATACGACTTTGATTTCTGTAGCTCAGCAATGTCCTTTTGTAAACAGTCATGTTCGGCCGACTGTCTATCTTTCAATGTTGCTATTTCTCGATTCATGTCGCTCATCTTCTCACTTAACTCTCCTCTCACTGAGTTGATTTCTGTGTTTAGCATATCCTGCATCTTCTTTAATAGTCTATCTTCAATAGAGTCCAGACGTTTATCCATGTGAGTTGTGAGATTTGCAATGGCCGACAGCACGACTGACATGCCATCTCATGACATGACATATCATGAACATGACATCTCATGACTTTTATTGTTCTCCTTATTAATGCAGATACTCGACGAGCGATCGCTCTCACCATTTAGCTTTCTGTTTGTACTGTCTGTGTCACGATCGTCGTTTTCTGTCTCTCTCCTGTTTTGCGCCACCCGGTTGGGGTGTCGGCACTGTCACCATTACCGAGTTGACATAGTCTAGTGATGATTCAAACGCCATCACTATACAAGTTCATATGTACAATAAAATACCCAGAAACACCGTTATGGACACTTTTGTAGTTTGTAGGCGACTTCTGTGTTGTTTATATGTCCGATCAGACTGGTAAAAGCTCAGATTTCAAATGAGTCTCTCAGAGCGATCATTGACACGTCTTCTTGCTTCAAGCCTCATTCTAGGGTGAGCTGCTGGTGGAGTTTATTGGTTTGCGTCAGTTGTCTGTCTGCCTTGCCGTCTGCTGTCTCTGAAATAACCATCGTTTATTATAGAAAGTGAATCGTGACTTATTTTAGACCGCCTGGCATGCATTCTTGACTACTTCCTTCTGGAAAGTGAACGATGTCCAATATCGCCTGTCACGATTACCCTCTAGCACCGGGGTGGGGACATTTAGCACACAGTCTACTTTTTTGAAAGATATGTAAAGGTGTCAACTGAATAATTATGTGAATCAATCTCAAAAGCCGGCTGCAGACACAATTCATAGTAACATGCCTTTAAGAGCGTGGCAAACTACCCAGTTACAAATAATGGCGTCGAAGCTGATGCAGTATTGCGAATTAGTCGGCTTCAAAGCTGAACAAGTTGTTATAAACCTCATGTAAGTCTTTGGAGGCTCGGACGTGTTGGCAAAGACGTGTCCTGAAGGTGTTTACATTTACCAATATTAATCTTATGGACAACTGTTGCTCTTGTATTTCGTTTCTACTTTTAGGCGCAGAAAGAAGAAGAAGAAAAGTAAGTAAACATAATCTGTCTTCATTTCACCGAGAACCAATAACAATTCCAATCAGCATCAAGTGCGCCTGAAACTTCTGTTATTCTGTCATTGCCATGTGTCCTCGCGTCTCCCAGTAGAAATCTGTGAGAAGAGGCCATTGAAATTAAATATTTCATCAGGCGATTGATTTACTTCCTTTGATAGACGGCGAGCGATGTTGTTTCTGATATCACCGACCTGTTTATCTTGTGGATTTCGTATTACGACTGTCAATCAAAAAGTAGTAACTATATTCCTGATACGACTGTCAAAAAAAAAAGTCACTATATTCCTGATGTCCAATGATTGTAAAGCTTCCATTTTATTTGAAGGAAACATTAACAAAGCCATATCCAACATTTCACATATGTTGGTAATGTGGTTATAATATTTCTTAAAGAAATGCAGAAAATGAAAAATGATCTGTCATTTGGTACCTCTTTGATAATGATATGCTCTTAGAAAATACCATGTAAAATATGTTCAGTATAGGATTGGATGACACCACCGTGTCTTCGACGCTGAGTGGAGCGAATGAGAACTTTCCCAGTAGGCCTCTCTTGTCCTTACGCCTGTGTTCCCTAGGCTGCTCTCTTCATAGGACAGGTCTCTAGTCCCTGGTTAAGCATGCAGGGTGCCGTTCCACTAGCCGTACGCCAGTCGTAAAACCCTAAAATCCCAATCTTAGCGCAACGTTAAGATTGGCATACCGTTATGTCAAATTCAACAAAATTGCTGTCCCGTTGATAGAACGTCATTAATACTTTACTTTGAAATACCCATTTTGTTTAATATGATGAACACTGAATTGAGGAAGCAAATAAAAAACAATTTTAGATTACTCTTGCCAGATTTTATAAACAAATATCAAAGAGCAACTTGTTCAAAACTGTGTCCCTCTGCAGGGTGTATTGTTTGACAGATGAAACAACATTATTATGTAACAACAGTCTAAACTTTTGAATTTCTACGTTTACAACACAAACACGTGACATCATACATGTATGTAGTAGTTTGAGAGGCCGCCAGTCCTGTAGAGAAACACTGAGATTCAAGTTCAGTTGTCCCCAACTTTTACCATCAGATACGTTACAGATTGTCATCTTCGGATGGTTCGGACACATTTGACTTTTGTCAACAGTGGCTGAAATAATAGCTCGTACGGTTATGTTTATAATAATAAAACCATAACTTGTAAAACAAATTCATACAGCAATATGATCACAATAAATAATACATTCTTGCCATAGGGTACGCTGGTTTTCGTCAGATACGTTATGCACATTCACGGACCTAGAACACAGATAACGCAAAAGACATCCCAGTCTAGTTGTTATTTCATAGAACAATGTGTCCCTCAAAGGAAAACACCAGTTGTAAACTTTCACGTAAATAAAATCTTCACATTTGTGTAAAAATATAGATATCATCGTCAGATACGTTTTCGTCAGTTACGTTACACTAACCAAACCACAATCAGCAAAATATCGGTGATTAACATTCGCTCATATAATCGAATGCAGCGAGTTGTCACGTGTTTCTTGGACGTTCTACTGCCGGATTTCCACTGATGGCGGCATCACACTCGCTTTGATGTTGGCAAAATTCAATTCATAATTGGTAAGTAGCAAGTGTCATCTTCTTGTAAACGACAAGCGTTAGAAGCAGTGACATAAGGCAGAGCGACCATTCAGGTTGCTCGAGACTTTTATAACAGGGCAATATGAATATAAAATCTATACAGTTTAGATTCTATTCCACGGCTGAGATAGAGGAAGATGCACAGCACCTATAAATGTCGAAAGCTAAAGTAGCTCCAAGAACATGCAGTTCTGATTAAAGACGGTGTGCTCTTCTGAAACATTGTTTCTTGCTACTGTGCCGGATGTCTCCGAAATGTGTAAAAGTTGGCACTGTCACCATGGTGTCTAGACCGTATCCCTGAGACATGGGGAAGTCTTAAACCAGCTGCTGAACCTAATGTCTCGTCATCTTCACTGCCTTCCATCCCAGTTGTTGGAAGATATCTTGCTGCTACTTACGATGTAAATGGTATGTTGGGAAAGTTCTTGAGGTTGACACTGATGACTGTGATGCCAAAGTAACCTTCCTGGAGACATCCAAGGCAAGGGCAACTCTGACACATACAGGTGGCCGTTAGCCTCTGTTGCTCCTTGACGGTCATCATGGAGGGTTGCTTTTGGCACTCGGATACAGTGTTTTCCTCACATTATATGAGGGACGTATCCATCACTGACGTCAAGGGTTTCCAACAGTTTGGACACCTTGTATTGGCCAAGCAGCTGTCATCGGCCCATCAATGCAGATGAGTACAGTGCGCGTCTATTCGATCTCCTGTACATACTGAATAAAATTCTGAATTGTCCTTCTGAGTTTACCTCTTCACTCAGTTTTATTGGGTTATTGCAATTAGTGTCAACACGGATCTACAGTTGGTAGTTCTCGTATTTGCGATGTAGAAGTGTTCGACAATCTTGCTTGCTGACCTCCACTCCACGGAGCATTCACGTCAGTGTACTGAGTTCTTCCTGACTTTTGGATTTCGTGGCGTTCTAGCTCCTAAATACCTTAGAACACCGTTGTGGTGTTACCGTGGTAAGGAGTGGAAGTCATGTGGTGTTGTCCTGGTACTGAAAGTTGGGAGCTTTCCAATTCAGTTCCTTTTCCCCTCTTTGAGATGGGGTTTGGGGAGTTGTCTCGAAGCAGGTACAGGCCCGAGTATTAGTCGTAAGTCATTAATTACGGGGATACTCTGATAAATCGTGACGAAGCAAGGTGACTTGCATAGTTGCATCCCCTTGCATATGCAAGAGTTGCGGCAGAACACCACATCGCCCGGGAGCACCCACTCTTTAGGAGCGTTCATGCCTAGTAAGCCAAGGGGTTCAGGACAACCCATCACTAGTATAGGTACTATGCTACTCAGATCCGGCCTTTCTTGTCCCTTGCTATCTACGGTTGTCTTTAGCCTATACAGTGTATACTGTCAGTGCTTTGACCTAGGGTAATCTGCTCCCCGCCGTCCAACCGTGGGATAAGTGCAAATCATGAGATAGGAGAAGTTTAAAAATTTGGAAATTTTAACTATAAATTGTATATTTATAAACTTATACCGCCCAGCCTCCCCACAACTCAGATCACGGCAGTTACAGTTAAGTGTCATAGGCTCCAAGAAGAGAATGATCACTCTGGGGTAGCCATGTGGGTAGATAGGGGAGCGTGCGGCTCGCTCAGCATGGGACTAGGGACCTGTCCTATAAAGAGAGCAGCCTGGGGAACACGGGCGTATGGACAAGGGAGGCCAGCAGGGCAAGTTCTCATTCGTTCCACTCAGCGTCGAAGCAAGAGAGAGAAGTGCACATCGCCAGATAGGACAAGTATATAAATAAACAATTTGGAGTTAAGATATCTTAGTATCTCATTTCAAAGCTGTTCCATTCAGGTTACAACATCCATCATCATTCTAGGATTAAGCCTTCCATCATCAATTGCAGCGTAGCAGCAGCAGCATTCGACATTGCACAATAAACACAAGCAAGCCCCCAGCATCTCCAAAGCCGGAAATACTTGACCATTGAACGTGGACAGTTCCAACCCACTCTGTTAGAACTATGTATTAATTAACTTTCATTGCCCAGATAGTAGGGGCGTGTTAGGCCTTTTTCTTAACAGATGTAGTTGTTCACCAATATCTGCGGACTCCATGTGAGGATGGTTTGATACAATGGTGTTCCATAATATACATGGAATCCCCCATCTCCACGACTACACTTAACCGCTTTAGAAAATGATTTCATTTCAATCATAATCCAGGTCACCAAGTTTCTCTTTATGTATTGTCTTTTGGACAATGCGTTTGTTCACAGACCCTCACAACATAGCTGGAATACTGCTGAGTGCGGTGTTAGACAACGAACAAACCAGGTCCCCTAGGAGATGTTGACACACGTTACTAACGCTTCTTGCAGATTCGTCACGTGACAACTGTACGAGAGGACGAACAGTAAACATTAAAAATGGCTAACAAACTTCTTGAGTGAATGAACCCGTGATCATCCGGGTTAGAAATGATCTTCAATAACCCATGCTTATCGTAAGCGATGAGTAGATGCTGTTATATTTCCATGATTGATTCGGTGACATATTATTGTCGTAAGATGCCACGGAAATCAATAATTTAATCAGGGTCGACGACCTTATACATCATAGTCGGAAATCCTGTCCTTGCCAGTATATATTGATAGCCCTAATTTTTGTGGTTACAATATTTTAGACACATGAACATAGCATAGATACAAAGCAATATACTGAATCAATATACATAACATATCATTTCCTTTCTTATCTTCAGGTGCACGTAACCCCGCCGACGTTAAGGAGGGATTACTCCCAGGTATGCCAATAGCGATAGTTTGACAAATGTATCTATCTCCTTTCAATGCTGCTCCATCCAGGTTACAACATCCATCATCATTCTAGGATTAAGCTTTCCATCATCAATTGCAGTGTAGCAGCAGCAGCTTCCGACATTGCACAATAAACACCACCCTCAGCATCACCATAGCTGGAAATGCTTGACCATTTAACGTGGACAGTCACAGGTGTCCCTGCACTGTGTTAAATGTGTAATTATTATATTTGTAACTTTCGTTGTCCAGGTTGTAGGGACGGTTTGTGGCCATTTTCTTATCGGATGCCTTTGTTCACCAATATTTGCGTACTACATGTGAGCATGGTTGGATGTAGGGATGTTCCATATAATATATTCACCACAATCGCGGTTCAGGTCTCAATCAACGTTTCTCCTTGCGTAGTTACATGTTTGCTATCCTGTGTAAGACAAAATACAATACATTCAAAACCAGACAGCTCAAGAGTCGATACTCGTTTGTTCACAGACCGCGTCACAACATAACCGGAATATTCCCGAGTGCGGTGATAAACAACAAACCAGATCCAATAGGGTATATTCACATATGTTACTAATACTTCTTGCAGATTCTACACCCGACAGCTGTACGAGAGGTTCGAAAAGTAAAAATGAAAAAATGTCTAGCAAACGTCTTGAGTGAATGGACGCCTGAACATCCGGGTTAGAATTGCCCTTCAATGACCCATGCTTGCCGTAAGAGGCGAGTAAAGGATCGGGTGGTCAGGCCCGCTGACATGTCATCGTATCCCAGTTGCGCATATTGATGATCATGCTGTTGACCACTGGATTTCTGGTCCAGACACGATTATTTACAGACTGCCACCATATAGCTGGAATATTGCTGTGTGCGGCGTAAAACTAAACCCACTCACTCACTCACTCACTCATACTTTACCTACTGGTGACATATATGCACGTATTACTCGAAGATAGAGTTGTTATGGGCAGGCTGCTAGATGTGCATATTTAACTTTCAGTTTTGGGGATCGTTTTATGCCGCTTTTAACAATATTCCCGCAATATCTCGGCGGGGACACCGAAAGTGGTCTTCACACATTGTATCCAGTGTCTTAGAATCTTACATCCATAAGAAATCTCTCCTGAAGGCAGGGTCAACTTACAATCTGACCATATCATGAGTGTGTATTTGTTAAGTAAATATATTCTGTGCTCAGTTCATGGGGTTACCAATACCATTTCCAAGCGTATCTTACACTTCTGTTAATCTGTCAACGCGGTGTGTCTTTTCGTCTCCAAGCAAGAAATCTGTGGGATTTCCATGATTGATTCGGTGTCATATCATTGTCGTAAGATGCCACGGAAATCAATAATTTAATCAGGATCGACGACCTTACACATCATAGTCGGAAATCCTGTCCTTGCCAGTATATATTAATAGCCCTAATTTTTGTGGTTGCAATATTTTAAACCCATGAACATAGCATAGATACACAGCAATATACTGAATCAATATACATTACATATCATTTCCTTTCTGATCTTCAGGTGCACGTAACCGCGACGACGTTGAGGAGGGATTACTCCCAGGTATGCCAATAGCGATACTTTGACAAATGTATTTATCTCCTTTCAATGCTGCTCCATCCAGGTTACAACATCCATCATCATTCTAGGATTAAGCCTTCCATCATCAATTGCAGTGTAGCAGTAGCAGCATCCGACATTGCACAATAAACACCACCCTCAGCATCACCATAGCTGGAAATGCTTGACCATTTAACGTGGACAGTCACAGGTGTCCCTGCACTGTGTTAAATGTGTAATTATTATATTTGTAACTTTCGTTGTCCAGGTAGTAGGGGCGGTTTGTGGCCATTTCTTATCGGATGTCTTTGTTCTCCAATATTTGCGTACTACATGTGAGCATGGTTGGATGTAGGGATGTTCCATATAATATATTCACCACAATCGCGGTTCAGGTCTCTGTCAATGTTTCTCCTTGTATAGTTATATGTTTGCTATCCTGTTAAAGACAAAATACAATACATTCAAAACCAGACAGCTCCAGAGTCGATACTCGTTTGTTCACAGACCGCGTCACAACATAACCGGAATATTCCCGAGTGCGGTGATAAACAACAAACCAGATCTAATAGGCTATATTCATAAATGTTACTAATACTTCGTGCAGATTGTACACCCGACAACTGTACGAGAGGTTCGAAAAGTAAAAATAAAAAAATGTCTAGGAAACGTCTTGAGTGAATGGACGCCTGAACATCCGGGTTAGAATTGCCCTTCAATGACCCATGCTTTCCGTAGAGGCGAGTAAAGGATCGGGTGGTCAGGCCCGCTGACATGTCATCGTATCCCAATTGCGCATATTGATGATCATGCTGTTGATCACTGGATTTCTGGTCCAGACACGATTATTTACAGACCGCCACCATATAGCTGGAATATTGCTGTGTGCGGCGTAAAACTAAACCCACTCACTCACTCACTCATACTTTACCTACTGGTGACATATATGCACGTATTACTCGAAGATAGAGTTGTTATGGGCAGGCTGCTAGATGTGCATATTTAACTTTCAGTTTTGGGGATCGTTTTATGCCGCTTTTAACAATATTCCCGCAATATCTCGGCGGGGACACCGAAAGTGGTCTTCACACATTGTATCCAGTCTCTTAGAATCTTCCACATCCATAAGAAATCTCTCCTGAAGGCAGGGTCAACTTACAATCTGACCATATCATGAGTGTGTATTTGTTAAGTAAATAAATTCTGTGCTCAGTTCATGGAGTTACCAATACCATTTCCAAGCGTATCTTACACTTCTGTTAATCTGTCAACGCGGTGTGTCTTTTCGTCTCCAAGCAGAAATCTGTCGGATTTCCATGATTGATTCGGTGTCATATCATTGTCGTAAGATGCCACGGAAATCAATAATTTAATCAGGATCGACGACCTTACACATCATAGTCGGAAATCCTGTCCTTGCCAGTATATATTGATAGCCCTATTTTTGTGGTTGCAATATTTTAAACACATGAACATAGCATAGATACACAGCAATATACTGAATCAATATACATTACATATCATTTCCTTTCTGATCTTCAGGTGCACGTAACCGCGACGACGTTGAGGAGGGATTACTCCCAGGTATGCCAATAGCGATACTTTGACAAATGTATCTATCTCCTTTCAATGCTGCTCCATCCAGGTTACAACATCCATCATCATTCTAGGATTAAGCCTTCCATCATCAATTGCAGTGTAGCAGTAACAGCATCCGACATTGCACAATAAACACCACCCTCAGCATCACCATAGCTGGAAATGCTTGACCATTTAACGTGGACAGTCACAGGTGTCCCTGCACTGTGTTAAATGTGTAATTATTATATTTGTAACTTTCGTTGTCCAGGTAGTAGGGGCGGTTTGTGGCCATTTTCTTATCGGATGTCTTTGTTCTCCAATATTTGCGTACTACATGTGAGCATGGTTGGATGTAGGGATGTTCCATATAATATATTCACCACAATCGCGGTTCAGGTCTCTGTCAATGTTTCTCCTTGTATAGTTATATGTTTGCTATCCTGTTAAAGACAAAATACAATACATTCAAAACCAGACAGCTCCAGAGTCGATACTCGTTTGTTCACAGACCGCGTCACAACATAACCGGAATATTCCCGAGTGCGGTGATAAACAACAAACCAGATCCAATAGGCTATATTCATAAATGTTACTAATACTTCTTGCAGATTGTACACCCGACAACTGTACGAGAGGTTCGAAAAGTAAAAATAAAAAAAAATGTCTAGCAAACGTCTTGAGTGAATGGACGCCTGAACATCCGGGTTAGAATTGCCCTTCAATGACCCATGCTTTCCGTAAGAGGCGAGTAAAGGATCGGGTGGTCAGGCCCGCTGACATGTCATCGTATCCCAATTGCGCATATTGATGATCATGCTGTTGATCACTGGATTTCTGGTCCAGACACGATTATTTACAGACTGCCACCATATAGCTGGAATATTGCTGTGTGCGGCGTAAAACTAAACCCACTCACTCATTCACTCACTCACTCACTCATACTTTACATACTGGTGACATATATGCACGTATTACTCGAAGATAGAGTTGTTATGGGCAGGCTGCTAGATGTGCATATTTAACTTTCAGTTTTGGGGATCGTTTTATGCCGCTTTTAACAATATTCCCGCAATATCTCGGCGGGGACACCGAAAGTGGTCTTCACACATTGTATCCAGTCTCTTAGAATTTTCCACATCCATAAGAAATCTCTCCTGAAGGCAGGGTCAACTTACAATCTGACCATATCATGAGTGTGTATTTGTTAAGTAAATATATTCTGTGCTCAGTTCATGGAGTTACCAATACCATTTCCAAGCGTATCTTACACTTCTGTTAATCTGTCAACGCAGTGTGTCTTTTCGTCTCCAAGCAGAAATCTGTGGGATTTCCATGATTGATTCGGTGTCATATCATTGTCGTAAGATGCCACGGAAATCAATAATTTAATCAGGATCGACGACCTTACACATCATAGTCGGAAATCCTGTCCTTGCCAGTATATATTGATAGCCCTATTTTTTGTGGTTGCAATATTTTAAACACATGAACATAGCATAGATACACAGCAATATACTGAATCAATATACATTACATATCATTTCCTTTCTGATCTTCAGGTGCACGTAACCGCGACGACGTTGAGGAGGGATTACTCCCAGGTATGCCAATAGCGATACTTTGACAAATGTATCTATCTCCTTTCAATGCTGCTCCATCCAGGTTACAACATCCATCATCATTCTAGGATTAAGCCTTCCATCATCAATTGCAGTGTAGCAGTAGCAGCATCCGACATTGCACAATAAACACCACCCTCAGCATCACCATAGCTGGAAATGCTTGACCATTTAACGTGGACAGTCACAGGTGTCCCTGCACTGTGTTAAATGTGTAATTATTATATTTGTAACTTTCGTTGTCCAGGTAGTAGGGCGGTTTGTGGCCATATTCTTATCGGGTGTCTTTGTTCACCAATATTTGCATACTACATGTGAGCATGGTTGGATGTAGGGATGTTCCATATAATATATTCGCCGCAATCGCGGTTCAGGTCTCAGTCAACGTTTCTCCTTGTATAGTTATATGTTTGCTATCCTGTTAAAGACAAAATACAATACATTCAAAACCAGACAGCTCCAGAGTCGATACTCGTTTGTTCACAGACCGCGTCACAACATAATCGGAATATTCCCGAGTGCGGTGATAAACAACAAACCAGATCTAATAGGCTATATTCATAAATGTTACTAATACTTCGTGCAGATTGTACACCCGACAACTGTACGAGAGGTTCGAAAAGTAAAATTAAAAAAATGTCTAGCAAACGTCTTGAGTGAATGGACGCCTGAACATCCGGGTTAGAATTGACCTTCAATGACCCATGCTTGCCGTAAGAGGCGAGTAAAGGATCGGGTGGTCAGGCCCGCTGACATGTCATCGTATCCCAATTGCGCCTATTGATGATCATGCTGTTGATCACTGGATTTCTGGTCCAGACACGATTATTTACAGACCGCCACCATATAGCTGGAATATTGCTGTGTGCGGCGTAAAACTAAACCCACTCACTCACTCACTCACTCATACTTTACCTACTGGTGACATATATGCACGTATTACTCGAAGATAGAGTTGTTATGGGCAGGCTGCTAGATGTGCATATTTAACTTTCAGTTTTGGGGATCGTTTTATGCCGCTTTTAACAATATTCCCGCAATATCTCGGCGGGGACACCGAAAGTGGTCTTCACACATTGTATCCAGTCTCTTAGAATCTTCCACATCCATAAGAAATCTCTCCTGAAGGCAGGGTCAACTTACAATCTGACCATATCATGAGTGTGTATTTGTTAAGTAAATATATTCTGTGCTCAGTTCATGGAGTTACCAATACCATTTCCAAGCGTATCTTACACTTCTGTTAATCTGTCAACGCGGTGTGTCTTTTCGTCTCCAAGCAGAAATCTGTGGGATTTTCATGATTGATTCGGTGTCATATCATTGTCGTAAGATGCCACGGAAATCAATAATTTAATCAGGATCGACGACCTTACACATCATAGTCGGAAATCCTGTCCTTGCCAGTATATATTAATAGCCCTAATTTTTGTGGTTGAAATATTTTAAACACATGAACACAGCATAGATACACAGCAATATACTGAATCAATATACATTACATATCATTTCCTTTCTGATCTTCAGGTGCACGTAACCGCGACGACGTTGAGGAGGGATTACTCCCAGGTATGCCAATAGCGATACTTTGACAAATGTATCTATCTCCTTTCAATGCTGCTCCATCCAGGTTACAACATCCATCATCATTCTAGGATTAAGCCTTCCATCATCAATTGCAGTGTAGCAGTAACAGCATCCGACACTGCACAATAAACACCACCCTCAGCATCACCATAGCTGGAAATGCTTGACCATTTAACGTGGACAGTCACAGGTGTCCCTGCACTGTGTTAAATGTGTAATTATTATATTTGTAACTTTCGTTGTCCAGGTAGTAGGGGCGGTTTGTGGCCATTTTCTTATCGGATGTGTTTGTTCTCCAATATTTCCGTACTACATGTGAGCATGGTTGGATGTAGGGATGTTCCATATAATATATTCACCACAATCGCGGTTCAGGTCTCTGTCAACGTTTCTGCTTGTATAGTTATATGTTTGCTATCCTGTTAAAGACAAAATACAATACATTCAAAACCAGACAGCTCCAGAGTCGATACTCGTTTGTTCACAGACCGCGTCACAACATAACCGGAATATTCCCGAGTGCGGTGATAAACAACAAACCAGATCCAATAGGCTATATTCACATATGTTACTATAGTTTGGCATAAAATGCACGTGGACCCGGTTTCGTGTAAATATTTCTTCATCCAATGACCCTATCGATCTCAAAATGTGCACGTAGATGTTTTGTCAGACAACTTAATCACATTATAAATCACCGATTTTATGCATTTGTAGTAAAGAATCTGTCTATGTAACTGTCAACAAAATAAACAGCAGAACGCAGACGGCTTGCAGAGGGAGGGAGCCAATGACCATTAAGATAGGTAGTGCTGGTAGACTTTGTTACGTACTACCATTCAGTTCTGTGTATAGCTTAAACATCAATCAAAACGTACTTAGCAGGGATACGTTTCTTTTGTATTAGAGCAGGTAGGGGCAATCCTTTGTGGTCACCAGAGGGGGCCCCACTCCCCAGATTAGAGTACATTCTAAAGGGAATCAAAAGGCAGCAAGCACACCCTGCCAGAGGACGACTGCTCATCACAGTCGACATCCTGGATCATATGTGCAGGTCCTTACATCGAGGATGCTTTACCCCTTTTGTTGATAGCCTAGTGTTGGCAGTAGTTTGTTTGGCCTTTTTAGGGTTCCTTCGCTGCGTGGAATTGACTGTGATAGCAATTTTTGTAGGAATGATGTTGTGTTAGCGGAGGACAATTCCTTTATGGAGCTTACCCTCCGGTCCTCCAAGACGGACCCATGTCGGAGAGGCGTCAAGATAGTCGTGTTTGACAATCAACGATTCCAAGCTGTACACGCTATGTCTCCATATCTGAAGAGAATTTTTCCTCCACAAACTGCAATTGCTGCTGAACAGGCTAAGGTATAGGAGCAAAGACTTTAATGGGCACTCGTTCCGTATTGGCGCGGCTACCACGGCAGCAGCCAACCTCGTCGACGACCATCTCATTCAAACGTTGGGTCGGTGGTCCTCAATGGCATATACTCGATATATTCATACCTCTTTGCCTACACTGAAAGCTGCTCAACTCGCTATTATTAACCTATTTTTGGGTGGCACTCGGCTCTGCACCCCTCAAAAATTTTCTCCCCCCAAATTTACTCATTTTTTAGCAAGCCTCCTTTTTGGGTAAGCTAAATCATATTAGCTTTCCACCCACAAACGTTTTTTTTGTACTTTAGGTAGTATATTTTATATATATGTTTTTCATGTGCACCGAAATGCTGTTACTCGTTATATTCATATAGCTATACCTGTCATGTTTTTACTCTGCTCCATCCGACAATGCAACAGTAGGGGTAACACTTACCTGGTCTACTCTACTGGCTGCATGCAATAGAGGGCTTCACCCATAAGTACTTACCAGCCTGTCAATGGATGGGCCAGTAATGGGCAGCCCAGATCTGCTTGACTTACTGTGCTCACTCCAGCTTAATTAGTTGCACCAGTAGTGCAGTGTAAATCTGCAGTCGTGTAACAATAAGTAATGGGGGCATCGCCCGTAGCTTACTTATTCTCATGTTAGTGGAGGGGCCAGTAATGGGCAGTCAAAATCAGCCTGGCTTACTGCGCTCACTCCGGTTTTAGTATGTTTTTTAGCATGTTTCAGAACTGGTGTCTACTAGCTGTAGTAGTAGCCTTAATGTAATAAGTAATGGGGGCATCGCCCCTGGCTTACGTATTATGGGGATAGTGGCAGGGCCAGTAATGGGTGAGTTACTCGGCCTGTCTTACTGCGCTCACTCCATCGGTAGTACGCAATATTCAGGTATCTACTTCTTTTTGTACATGTAAATAGTCAACAATGTTGTGCTATCTACATGCATCGGGGTGCGACGGCTAGCATGTATGACAGCTTCAGCTTCCGTCCAGTATAGATGATAGACGTTGCACCCCCCTTTTTTGCCATATTAATAAAATTCACTTGCCTAACTTCTCTTAGCTTTTTTGGCGGACATGAAATGTATTTATGGCAAATTTAAAACTTGTTTTAGTCACGATATGGCTAAAATATTGTCGATGTGACTCTGAATCTTATCACACCCACTCACTAATTGTTTTACTGTCCTTCGTTGGCAGGGTTGTATAAACTATATGTATTTATACTAGATGTAGAACTAGTTTTAGTCACGATATGGCTGAAATTGTGCCGATGTGTAATAAATAATAAACTCACTCACTCTGCACAGACAAAATACAATATTTATATTTCCTCTTCAGATGAAAGGGATGTTTCTAAAACGGAAATGGCAGACGGCCAGGAACGAATGAATGAAGACCACGAAAATGATTCTGAGGATAAAAGTGATGATGATGAAAACACTGACAATGACAGCGAGGAAGACATAGGTCAACCGGTGAGGCTTGTTAGCTGTAATCTCACACCACTCACAATCCACATAACACCTGTCACGTGTCATTTTACTTTTCAAATACCAACCTTTAAAAAGACTCCTAATGTGCATTATCATATTGTAAAAGTTCCCATAAGTTATGGCAACTCTGAAACAGAACATATTGAATTAAACTCCCAAACTCACTGACACATGCAAAATCAAAACTCATTTTTCAAGGGATATATAAGGAGCGTTTTCCAATATTCTGACTCATGCTGAATGCTTCTCTATATCTTCGCGGACATATCGTGGACACATTCAGTTTTGTGTTCCTCATGAACACTAAATATATTTCACCCAAGCGCGAACGCTCCAACACAACCAGCCGATAACTCGTCATTCTCTCAATTTTCGCCCAACGGGATAGTTGATGAAACTTTCTGTTTTCTTTTCCAAGCCATTCTATATTTTTTGGAATGTTTATATTTCGATCCTGCTTGTAAGTATTTTATTCATCATAACTTAGTGTTTTTTGTTTCAATTTCGCGTTTAGTTAAAATAGTTTTCAACTAAATTACGACCCACGGTCTCCAAACTGTATGCTATCGTCACGATAGGAAATTGTCGTCTGAAGAGCAGAATCGTTCACAGAAACTAGCGAAGTTGATATAAAATCTGCGACTACTAAGCGGCCTGCAACAGTTACTTCACCGTTCACAGACTGATCTGCTATATAGGATGAGATTGAGACCTGCATGCAGGATTCTCAAAAGACCAGTGTGTCATCAGACGCACAAGATTCACCATTTACACTGGCTCCTATGGTTTTGCACAGCCTCAGACCTTCACACGGGCTCGTACCTTCACACAACCTCAGACCTTCACATGGCTACAGACCTTCACACAACCTAAGACCTCCACACGGCTACAGACCTTCACAGAACCTCAGGCTTTCACACAACCTCAGACATTCACACGGCTACAGACCTTCACGCAACCTCAGACCTTCACACGGTCTTCACATGGCCTCAGACCTTCACACAACCACACACCTTCACACAGCTACAGACCTTCACTCATCCTCACACCTTCACACAACCACAGGCCTTCACACAGCCTCAGACCTTCACACAACCACACACCTTCACACGGCCTCAGACCTTCACACAGCCACAGGCCTTCACACAGCTTTTGACCTTCACACGGCCTGAGACCGTCACACAACATCAGCCCTTCACACAGCCTCAGGCCTTCGTGGAGCCATCAAATATTACGCAAGGAGGTATTCAGCAGGTTGTATTTAACCATCACTCAATGAAGATTCCTCACAACATGGAGATAGCCTTTCTATCTATGAAGACTCGTCTGTGTTCTCTTTTCCTGTTTTAAGGGGGACTCACAAGCCTTTTATCACAGTAATTTCTAAACCGTAACAAATGAAACGCATCTTGACAGACTTTTAGTAGCTATGTTGGTATAGGATCAAGGAAACAGCATATTGTTTTATTTTATTTATGCTAAACTTCTTGATCTCAGTGCAACTTGTTTGTCCAAATTGATCCAGAGTAGCTAGTTGACCGGAGTTGGAGACATAGAGACGTGGCTGGATTTGTCGGCAAGAGCAGCGCTGATGAGTGGGAAGAGAGAATACTCTGTTTTGTCTTGAAGAGCAAGGCGTTACCAATCTGAAGAACTTCCTTTTGACTGGTTGCCTTTTACAGGGTTGATGTGAAGTAGGCATGTGTTGTATCTTCAGTTAGGTTGTTCACAGCATTTTTTTGTTCTGCATGAATCTCTTTGTGTGTAGTCACTTTTTGTCCTTCGCATTTGTCGATCTATCTTTCGCCTCTTCCGTTTAACTTCACGGATATCATCGTTGTACCAGGCTGTGGTGGGTTGTTACCGTGAACGCCTTCATTGGAGCGTGTTTGTTTAGAACTGTCTCTTGCGTGTTGTTATAGACATCAACCAGGTCCAATACACTGTTGTATTCACCATCGGATTCACACAGAATCGGACTTGGAAGAATTAACATAAATGCTCTATGCACACAGGACCACACACCACCACGTAATAATTACATGCTGGACGAGGTTTTGGGTTCAAGAATCTCTTTGCAGTTGGATCAGTTTTCTTATCAATATGGATATTGAAATCTGTACATATGAGTAATTTGCCAATGGGTATATTTAAGCAGTCAGTCATTTCATCAAACAAGTTGAAAAATGTCAAGGAAAAACAAGCCCTTAAAAGTAGATTTTTCAAGGATAGTTTACTCACCACTCTTCGAAGATCTAAGAAGGTAAGCAGAAAAAAGCAAGACACCGGCATGGGGCGTAAATATAGTCCTTAAACATCTGATCAGGGAGGTGAACCTCTACGTCAAGCAGACTTTGGGTTATTAACTCAGAAGACCATATTTCTTATTAGCTTACAGCAGGTAGAATGTCAGAAATTTATGAAATTGACTTCAGTGGAACAAGATTTTATACTGGCACACATGCTCTAGTACATCTGGGATATAGGTGGAATTTCAAAGAAACGAATCAGATTCTAGTCTCTATAAACCTGCTCTGACATCAGTTCTAGAATCAGAAGATACATCTACAAAGAAAGTCGTTGAGAAGAAGGCAGTTCAAGATTATATTCATATTTTATAGATGTTTCTAGAGCAACTACATAATTCTGGATTGATCCAAGGACTGGATCCATCTGTGGCATTGACACTAAGTAAGACTCAGAGCTATAGCGTCCTCGCGACATGGTAATTCCTCTATCTCATCCATGATGGAAGAATGTGTCTTGAAGTCTGATAATGTTTTCACCAACCAGTCTCTCAGGGATTTTGCTACAGGACATGTTGCTGGTACTCATCAATTTGGTCCTTTGGTCTTAATGGAACAAGCGACAGTTCCTTCGAGGAAAGAATTTTCATTGAGAATCACTCGAATCTGGCTCATAGAAGTCGGGTGATACGAGCGGGAATTTATATCTATGCCAATCTGATGTTGTTATAAATTCACTTAAACATTTTTTGACATTGTATGTCTATCACGTCAAGGACGGCTACGAGCAGATGGCACCCTGGAAGTAAGAATAACACGGAGTATTCATCCAAATGACTCTTAATGTTTCACATTCAAAATAACGTTGATGACAGACGTCGATTTTGGCGGCCAAGGGTAAAAACTAGCTCATAAGACCAGTTCATCCAACCGAGTGTTTATGGAAACTGTGGTCCATGTTCCTCTCAAAACAGGAGATAAGCAGCAGGTGTTAGAGTGACTGGCTACACAGAGGGAATATGCATACACGACGTCCACGTGGTATACCGCGAATGACCCAACTGAGTGTTAATATGTAGACATCAAGATTTCTTAACTCTTGTCTGCAAAGTGGAGTTTCTGTGGATGATAACATCACAATGCAGATGAATAGAAAATTGTTGTGCTCCTGATAGAATCACACACTAATGTTATTACCTCGCTGACATGGAACAGGTGGCTTGCTTTTCGCTGATAATGAACAATAACCGAAAAGAACCTGTAATGTTTGGAATACAATGTTTAGATAACGGTGATTTCAATGAAAAAAATCAGTTTACAATATCACAACTTAAGTCCGTTGCATAAAGAAATCTGCCTCAGCTTGTCAACTTTGTGTAGTCATAAAACCACAAGAACATTTCATAGTGATGCATATTTGTTTCAAATGTCCTTCATCATAGGATTTAAATTTTGGGTGGTTGAATCGCAATTTTTGTCGACTGACTTCGTATTCATGTTTTAGCAATGGCTAGCTTTGGGTTCAGATCTCATATATGCACATTATGATACATGATATGTACATCATTCACCATACACAAGTAAATGTATTTGATCTGATCCAGTTTGTGTTGACCTCTCTTTTAGAAAGACCCGTGAAGATCCTGGCTAGAACTAATCTTCAGCAAACCATGCTTAGGCGACTAACGGGATCCGATGGTCATGCTTGCTGACCATATTGACAATGTCATCGTATCCCAGTTGTGTAGATCAATGCACATACTGTTTGATTATTTGCAGACTGCTGCCATATAAATGGAATATTTCTCTGTGTGTCGTTAAACAAAAGCAAACAAACTCGTTTAAAGCTGACACACCAAGATACCGGGATACTGTTCCAACAGTTCTGTGAAATGCTAAAATCAGATTTTTGTTTCTACTCTCAGCTGAAGCGTATTAGAGATTTCGTGAGGGATCCCCAGGAGCAGGATGTGACCTTGCATGTCAAAGTCGTGAAGGTGGGACAAGTGGAGGAAAAATCCAACAAGAACCAGTTCATGGCCACTGTGGCTGATGACACCTCAGCTGTTGACATTTGTGTGAGAGAAGAAAACCTCTTTGACAAATTCGAACTGGAGAAATGCATTATTCTGAGAAATGTCACCTGGAACGGGAAGGTTTTATTCACGAAGTCCTCTTCCACAGCAACTTTTGCCGCGGAGATTCAGGCTCCAGAAAATATCATCGCCGATGCTTTTGGGGAAGGAGAACCAGTGCCCATATCCGAAATCACCAAACAGGATTTTTTGACCAAAATTAGTTTAAAAGGAAAAATTGTGAAGGTTGGTGGACCTTTCATAGATTCTTATAGTAATATTGGCAGACCATTTGCACTAATAGCAGCCCTATATGTCTTTGTTGTATCATTGTCAGTTTCTGCAATTTACCTCACAAACAAGACGATTTATTGTTGCGCCTATCTTAATGCTACCACGTTCGGCCTGTTTGTCAAATGTCTATGTTATCGATGTTACCGTGAAACATGGTTGAATGATTCATTAACATTTACAGTTACTCATTTACTCGTGCAATCCTGACCTGTTAATTGAGAGCGGAAGGTATTATTGACATGACTGTCGCGAAATGTGTAAGTAATACATGATAGCAAGAGCATGAAAAATTATTGACAGTGCAATAAACATACTGTTCAGTTATTCCCCTGAGTGTTACCACGGCCATGTTATAATATTCGTATGTTATTACCGTATTTATCATATTTTGCATTAATACAAAGTGAGTTAGTACTATGACTAGGGGTGACTGTAGATGGGGAAATTGAATACGACTGGGACATGCAATCGTTCGATCATAAGCACATGCATGTAAGTTTGTTTTTTTGTATGGTTTCAGCTTACACATCCATCATATGACATACTGATAGTACGTTCCAGTTTGTGTGATATACATCGACATTTCCTGTTCAGGTGCATCATGTCCTAACATAGAGCAATGTATGATAAAATCACAGAATTGGATCTATATTGTCTTTGAAACTAAGACTATGTGTTGCATGGAGTTTCAGCGTATATGTCTGTTACACTGCCATTAGAGTAACAATAGTCTTCTCAGTTTATACATGATGTCTGAATAAGAGAGAAATATGTATTGCACACAACCCATCGCATCTTGTTGTATCAGTGTTCTGTTTATCTGTTCAAGCAAACCCCTCTCATAAAACGGAAGTGCTATGGGAAGGTGTTGTCATATCGCAAAGTTAAACTGGAGGATGAAACTGGTTCTGTCGATGTGGACGTCTGGGGCGACATTGCAGAGCAGATGCAGCTGGGCAAGGTCTACAAAGTCATCTCCTGTAAGAAGCGAAAACCTCGGATGCCTCACGATCCATGGGTCACAACAACACCCACGTCTACAGTGATGGTAATCCCTAGGATTATGTGGTAGTGGTTTTAAATGGGGTTATGCTTGCTTGCACGTCAGTCTTCCCAGTTACTGAGGCGAACTACCATAACACATTGCTGCCTGTAGTCAATAAAGTTTAACTTAAATAGTGCATCAACTTGCATTTCGCGTGCTGAACTGAGCTTGTTTCAGTTATGCCACGTTGGGCATACAGGGCAGACAGAGGTTAAGGTTTGTAAAGGCTGAATACATTTTAAGATATTTCGGGTCAGTACTAGGGCTGGCTAAAATTATAGATAATCTGAAATATCATTATTAATGATTATCATATGAAAATTGTGTTAACCATAATACCGTAAATCGGCTTTTGTAAAAGTTTTATTTTACGCACACACCTTACAAAGTTAGCTGTTTATTCTCGGCTGCTTCTTTATGTATTTTCAGGACGCTGTTTTGTTAACATGCCACCATTCAACAGTGATGTGAAATATATTAATTTCCTTCAGACGCTTTTTGCAGTTTTGCTCGAAGTTACTTCTTCGATATTTATCGATCATCGATCGAATTTGCTTTACTATTATCGATCTCTACGATCTATATCGATAGACAGCACTAGTCAGTACACATTTCAGGTTGGACCAGTATCAGGATTAGTTGCCATGTGTATGTTGAACGATCCGTCGTTTGTATTTCCAGCTCCTACCCTCCTAACCACTAAAGCATATCAGGAAAGATCGTTACCAAAGAGGTACGCTTGTCGGGATCGACGTCAAACCATACATGTCCTGTCCAAATCCCAGATGTTTCCGTTTCCAACTGACAGACAGGCTATGTGAATCTTGTCTGCATAAAATCCCGGACCAGGACCAGGTGAGTTATGGAGTGGCCATTATTGACACCCGGACACCTAAAGAAAACGTTCGCTCACTGACCGTCTACTGGCCAGAGCTCAGCCAAATGTTCCAACTGTTCGAGAAGGAGACACCACCAAAGAGTGACAAGAATAAGATTTGTGAGGCCTTTGAGGATCTTATCAACAGAAGTGTGAAGTACCAGGTATGTGGGATCGTCAGCGAGTTTAAACTGTAGACAGAAAAACAGCCCTCGGAGTGTCAGGTGCTGGTAAATGTGTGAACTTTCATTTGTTCAATAGGTCAAAGACCGTTAGCTGATATGTAGTATTGAGCTTTGAATCATGGTGATGATGTGACTTAATGGCTGCTATACAGGTCTGGTAGAGTTTGTGTTGATTTTAATATATTTTAATATCTATGAGCTTTAAGTGGCAATGCACTGTAGATTCAGTGTTTTGTGAAATGTTGTACACATCTGTGTGTTGGTGCAAAGGGCATTTACAAGGCTGATCAAGTAGTCAGACAACGATGAACTGTCTTCCTGACGTGAGTCAATTTTACGAAGATTGTAATTTCTAGTCCTACATCAAGCCTTCACATGTGTATTTTTCAATCTGTCTTTGATAATACTTTATTATTTTTCACTTTCAAGTAAATGCAGAGTTCTGTCTGTGGATGTTGTGTCCATACTGTCACTGTCTTTCAAGGGAAGGAAAGTACAAATAACAACATATTTCTATGTGTTGAATTTGATAAATGTTCTCATACTGATGCCACATGCTTCCAGAAGCTTCATGGACCATTCATTAAATGGAACAGAATTGTTTCTGAAATGTCAGTGCTCTTACTATCCATACATTTTGTTACATTAAAAGGGTGACAGTAAGGACAATTACAGTAACAGTATTGTCAAATATAGCGTTAAAGATAAAATTTACAGAATGTAACATTATTAATATGTTTTACTTTAAGTTTTATGTCAAGACTTTAATGTATTTTCTCAATTTCCAAATTTCAACTGTTTATTTTCATTCACGTTGAACAAAACAGGTAACACTAAGGACAAATGTGGTAACAGTATGGACATGTTTTTGAAAAGTTATTAAAAGACTTCCTACAAAGATATTTGTACATAGATAACTGGAGTATTGTGTTTGCTTGTAAGCATTCTTAATATTTTCATAGCGTTCTAAAGCTAAACATACCATTTAAAGAATGTAATATTATTAATATGAAAAAATCTGGTTTTGCTTAAAGCCTATGTCAAGACTTTAAAGCATTTTCCATTTCAAACAAGTCAACATGTAATTATCATTCACTGTGGACACAAGAAATAACACCGTGGAAAAGGATAACTAGAGTATTACGTTAATGGGTAAAGATTCTTGACATTCATTGCATTCTTTACGGTAGCGTGTGTTATAGCTTGGAGAGTCCTTTTATTAAAAATGTCAAATGTGGAATATTTCTACTCATGGAAAACAACCTGTTTCATAAAAAAGAGAATGGCCCATGTTAATTTAATTCTATGGTAAAATAAAAATACATTTATTAAGAACTAAGCAAATTATTTAATAAAAGGATGCTCTTGTGTGGTGTTGGCAATAATTTAGGTTTGGAAAAAATGCTGTATATCATTCTTCATAATGCATAACTTGATGATTAAAATTAGCATACCAGGTAGAGGTTATTTCTACAAAAATAGGATCATGAATATTTTCATTATATACTGAACATCATTGAAAACGCACCACCTGTATTAGTTTGGATTTCCAAGAGCATAAATGAGCAATCGGTGTAAATTTTACATACTTTTGTAGTCCAATGATTGATAAAGAAAAGAAACAAGAACCGATCCAGCAAAACATTTAAGTTTTTATTCAGCTGACCATGAAAGAAAGATGGATTTAGATTGGAAAGTCAGTAACATGTATGACCACCGTTAGCAGCAATACAAGCTGTGCAACGTCTCCTCGTTGAACTGATAAGTCTCTGAATAATGTTTTGAGGCAATGCATTCCAGTCTTGTTGCAAGGCATTCTCAAGTTCCCCAAGGTTGTTGCTCTGTGAGCGACATGAGAGGCGTTTGCCGATGTAATCATACAAGCGTTCAATGGGAGAGAAATTTGGTGAAAATGCAGGCCATGGAAGTAGAGGAATGTTTTTGTTTGCCAGAAACTGTGTTGCAACACTTGCAGTGTGCGCTCGAGCATTGTCCTGCTGGAATGTATGCAGATCTTGATGTTGGTTAAAGAAGGGAACGACGTTGTTCTGAAGAATGGTGTCACGGTAGTAAAGGACATTCACTCTGCCACGACAAACTACCAGAGCGGTTTTGTGATGATAACTGATCCCTCCCCACGCCATAATGCTGTCTCCAGCCCACCGATCTGTTTGCACAACACAGTCCTGATGGTAACGTTCTCCCCGTCGACGCCATACCCGTAGACGCCCGTCAGCATTTCGCAAGTGAAAACGTGACACGTCGGAAAACACAACACCATGCCAACGTTGTAACAACAACAAACGATGCTGTTCAGCCCATCGTCGGCGTTCACGACAATGTCTGTCAGTCAGGATGGGTCCAACATCGACACCGTAATCCTGCCACACGGAGACGGCGACGGACGGTGGAAGCACTGATCAAACCAAGTCGGCCTTGGACAGCGTTGGCGGTTCTGGCAGCCGGCAACGTACGATCCCGAATATGGCGCCGAACAATGTCTCGATCCTGACGAGAGGTGGTAACACGTCCCTGGCTATAACGTTGGCCGTCCTGGTGGTTTCTGTTTGTTGGTACCTGTTGGCAAGTCTTATGATGGTGAAATGATGGCAACCAAATCGTCTATCAATAATCCTGCTTGATGTGCCAACCTGCAACATGCCCAACGCCCGTTCTCGTTCCTCTAGTGACAATCTATGCATTACAGAATATATTTTACTTGCGGAGGTATAGCTGAAATGAGAACGGTTTTTTTGCCGACGGTCATTTATACCCCTAATCAGCATTTTTCACGCATGCAATTTGTGCTTTTCGTGTGTGTTGTGCCTGAATTTTGTTGTTGTCATGTGATGTGTTCCATGGTGTGTTCTTTACTGTACAGCATTATTTACAGTAAAGAACACTATTTATTGTCTTTTGTGTTATTAACAACATTTCCAACGTTCATATTTACTCTCAAACAGTCCTATTACCATATTTCAAACTTTACAGGTGGTGCGTTTTCAATGATGTTCAGTATATTATGATCTTAATGACATTGTGTGATTAAATTTCACTTCACTTGATATGCCCCAAACTACTAGTATTTATGATCACTAACTGTATTCAATAGAAGTCACACACATTAATGTCATGATTTACAGTACAGGATTAGACACAAATGTTGACTTCGAATGGGTTTAGAAGACAGAAGTTTAGAACTGAACATAAATTCTCTAGATATTCTTATATTATTGTAAGGTATGGATTGCTTGAGGCTCTTGTAACCAAACTGCTGCACATTAAAATCCTTAATAATCAAAGTGTTTTCTTTATTGGCTTTATTTACATACACTGGCATGCACATTGTATCAGTTTCGAGTGAATGTTGTAAAAGCCTCATGTCTACAAGAATATGTATTGGACGTTAGTCCATGATATCATACAGGTTATTATAAACAACTAAAGTCTGACATTATTGCCTCTTGCATTACCTCAATTACCTAATTAGATACACTGGAACAAATCCGGTTTCTGTATAAAACCAAACTGAGTCTGGATATTAATCTGGTTATTATAGCCAAGGGGGCGGTGGGGTAGCCTAATGGTTAAAGCGTTGGCTCGTCACACCGAAGATCCGGGTTCGATTCCCCACATGGGCACAATGTGTGAAGCTCATTTCTGGTGTCCCCCGCCGTGGTATTGCTGGAATATTGCTGAAACCGGCGTACAACTAAATCAGTCAGTCAGTCAGGCAGTCAGTATTATAGCCAAGAGACAAGTACGAGATGCTGAGGATGTAATCTGCCACGTTGGGAAACAAATGTGTTACTGAGAATCTATTCTACTCTATAACAGAACAGGAGTTAAGCCAGGACCAAAAAAATGCCGTGTTCAACAACTTCTATGTAAAAGGTCCAGGTACCATGTAATCCCAAATTATAGGGTAAGTAAAAACGAGGCAGTTTGATGCAAGGTACCCATTGCAAAAAAAGGACGTTCATTTTATTGATATATCTGCATGGTGGGATAGATACATCTGTAATAACTGCTACATGAGTCATATTAAGAAACACAGCACAGAATTACATCAGTGAAAAGCAAAGAGTTCTGGTCTTAGAAGTATTACTATATAAGCCAAAGGCAGCAACGGCAGCCATTTTTCAAAATGGCCGACATTTGGCAAAATAGCTTTGAAAACGGTATGGTGGACAGAGTTACATAGGTGAAACATCCCGACCCATCAACACCCGTGTGAAAGAACCCCAGACCTCCGTCATCAAGTCCGACAGCAAATCAGCCATCTCTGATCACATCCAATCTAACCCTAATCACCACGTAAACTGGACTGACATCACCATACTGGCCAAAAACCAAAAGGAATATTAAGTATTTCACGAAACGTAAACTCACTGAAGCCATTCATATCAAACGCCAAAAGCTCACCATCAATCGAGATCAAGGATCTGTATAAACAACTCTCTGGAAATAGTGCCTCGAGTTGCAGTGTATAAAGCAAAATTAAGTACATTGTATGTGAAAAATATTACAAACGTGCAGGAGTGATACGTCACCTGATACACGATATTTTGTTTTAGGTATTGATACTCTCTGTTCCTTGAAATTGTAGGATTCTCTGTAACTGGGTAACAATCTACGGTGGAAGACCAACTCCTTTAAATTGAACTTGTTCATTCTCTCTCTCTCTCTCTCTCTCTCTCTCTCTCTGTCTCTCTCTGTCTCTGTCTCTCTCTCTCTCTCACACACACACTATTATATAGGGCTTCGTGAACACACACACTGACTACATTATACGCCCATCTTTGGAATATATACAATTTTCAGAAAGTGAATTCTGCACTACACATATATCACTAGAGGGGATTTTTGCACGAATAATGAAGGCAAACCAGGAGTCCGTGACAAGGAGTAACAAGGGGACTGGAGGGATTCCAATGGCAATTGTATACAACCCAAGATATGTTTGAAGTCAACACGCTGTTTATGCCATACACATATGCCCAGCATTTAGCGAAGTAGTTTGTGATGGTGTCAATGTAAACTGTACCGTTACATGATGTATGTGCTGGTTTTTGTTGCAATAAAACGTACGCCACTTATGCTTCAACTTTATGTTACATTCACCTCTTGAGACTTGGTATTCAAGTATAAGACAACATATACATGTTCTTCTGTGTTGTATACACAACGTATACATTATTCATTACGTTTTGATGAAGTATACGTTTGAAGGAGGTATATGCCTTCATGGGCCTCATCCGCAAAGAATCTGGACTGACTTAGATGGAATGGAATTTAAACATACGTGAATTACCTACATATTGCTTAAACAATGTAAGGACTGTTTACTTTTTTCCTTCTCCAGTTATTAGCGATCATGGGTTGTATATGCTTTTGAAAACAAACTTTTGGTTTATTTCATGTAATTATATCATTCAAGAATATCAAAATAATGCCTGAAAATCATAGCAAAAAAATCCGTATAAGTATGAATCAGTGTACCCTCATGCATATATATATATGACTGTATTTTTGAAAATGATAGTTCAGTATCACCAAGATAGGTTGTAACTAGCTTTTTAACATGCCGATGGTGTGAAAGAAAGATCACTTACATGACATTTGGTCCCTTTTGGGTGCGTCTGGCGACTTTCAATAGGGTTACTAAGTGAGTATAGTTTTAGGCCGCTCTTAGGAATAGTCCAGCAATATCACGGAAATGGGCTTCACATATTGTACCTATGTGGGGCATGGAAACCACTAGGCTACTCCAACAACCCTAACTTTAAAGATTCCGTGTATGTTGATTTATGTTGATAGCCTTTGATGGTTTTTAAGGACATGTTTACTTCACACGGGGAACAAGCTACATGCTTACCCTCGACAGCGAAGCATGCGTGAGAGTCCTCCAGGTTGTAGTACATTGCAGAACTCTAAACCAAACTAAAACAGAGCATACCACTGCCCCTCACTAACTCTCAACAGAACAGATACAATGTAGCAAACTATTTAAGTTGAATGTTTCTGTCGAGGGTAATACCATATGATGTACGCCTCTTTGTAGCAGTGTCACCCGCGCCGGTAGGTGAAGGTGACACTGTTACAAAAATGCGTATAACCCGAGGGAGGAGCGTGCAACGTATTTATCTTATCGTCTTGTTAAAGGTACAAAATATCATTTTAATGTATTTTGAAGGCTGCTTCTATATGGCATGTACTTCATTGACCAATGAAATTAGAGTATGTTACATGAAGGTAAGATAAATTGTAATAACGGTAATATCAATATATTATAAGTTGTTCACTGGTCACGAGGGGGACTCTAAACTGAATATTTTATTCAGTCAAAACTAAGGAATATATACAAATATTTCATCCCGTCACATCCGTTTGGTGTACTTGCAAAAAAATATTGCTCCTTGCACAAAGTACACTTTAAAAATGCATAACAATCTTGATTCGAGGGATCACTAATCCTTGAAACTATGTCTCGATATAATACTCTATAATTGATTTCGAAAATGTTTGGATATAACAATCTGCTACTTCCTTTTGAACATTCTTCAATATAAAAGAGTGTGAAGCCCATTACTGGTGTCCCCCGCCGTGATATTGCCGGAATATTGCTAAAATCGGCATAAAAAAACTCACTCACTCAGTGTTAATGATTCTTCAATATAGAATGCAACCGTTTGATAGGAATAAATGTTTTGTTGTGTGCTACCTGAATCCGAAATGTACAGAATTGTCCAGAAACGTTAGCCTAACGGGTCATTATTCTGAGTTACTAATGTATTCATTTTGTAGCAGGTGATATGTATTCAGTTAACATGCAGTTCGATATTATGTTGAGAAAAGAATCCCTTTTAACCATTTCAATCAAGGACCTGAGCACATCTTGTTTTGTACACTACGTAACACACGAAGTATTACACTGGGTAGTACTTCCCGGTGCATGTGTCCTGAAACAGACAGTCCAGACAACTGTTCTGTTGGGTCACTCATTTCAATCAGTACAGAATATTGCCTTGTTGATCTTTAAAATATCTGTACATACATGCATGAGAGGTATTTTCATCCTGCCGTGACACATTATAAAACCACACTGCATATGACAGTGGTATTCAACAGTGTTGTCGTTGTATTGCGTTGTTTCTGTGGCGATTCATCAGAGGGCTGAGGTGAATTTGAATGAAGGCTAATCCGGAAGTTTCTACTGCAGCCGGAATAATCCAGTCCAGCAAAAGCCGTGGTGGTTGAGATGGTAAGGCGGCTGACTTTGTGTGCTGGCGATTGTGTGATTGATTCTGAGGGTGTGGGTTCGAATCCCGGATGGGACTCAGTCCACCAAAAGTACTAGAATCTGTTCTCTTTACGAAGAGTGAGTGAGTGAGTTGGTTTCGCATGCCGCTTTCAGCAATATTCCAGCAATATCACGGTATGGGGACACCAGAAATGGACTTCACACATTGTACCCATGTGGGGAATCGAACGCTTTAACCACTAGGCTACCCCCACCGCCCCACTTATTACGAGAGAGTGTAATCCCAAATATAACATATGTTACATTTGACCACTTTCTAAATGGCATTGTGTACTTCACAACCAACAGAGCCCAGAATGTTCCAGAAGAGATCTATATGAAGTTAATAGAGGCCCAGTAGGTGCCTCTCGTTTCAGATCAGTTTCATCCTGGATTCCTTAGCTTTGCTCTCTTTTGTAGCTTTACCATTGTTGTAACTGGTGAATATTGTAGATCACTGTCTTATTGGTGCGATAAATCACAACTTGTGTATTATATGAGGAAGTATTTCATGCAGCGTCGCTATCATGCACAAAGACCCTATCTGTGCTTTCCGGACAAGTTTCAAACACAATCGTCAATTATAGACACACAGAGACAGTATCAACTTTCTGATGTACGTGTTACACAATCATTAAGATAAGCACACAATCTAAAAGCTGGAAACACCCATGGTTGTCAGTGGAAGTACCAGTGTAGAGAGTGAGGTGCTCATAACTACAACCTCATAATATCAGATAAGGTAACTTAAGTGTCTATTGTAACACACGTTTATTTCACAGTCATGATATAACAACTCGACTAGTATAATTTAATCAACCCTAATACTTTGGAAAAGATGTCACTCGTTTTATATTGTGAATAGTTCCACACTGACAGGTCACGTGAATAAGTCCACACTGACAGGTCACGTGAATAGGTCCACACTGACAGGTCACGTGAATAGGTCCACACTGACAGGTTACGTGAATAGGTCCACACTGACACTGAGTTGTCCGCTCGACTTGGAGAAGTCCAACTTGACCAAATCAAGTCAGTTTGTTCACAACTAGACCAAAGACATAGCAATGGCGCAGGCACGAGGTAGGGTGAACTTTTATTTCTTTTAACATCTATTTAATCATTTGCTTGATCTACAAGACTCATTCCTTTACCAGACTAGCACAACAGTTGGATTATACCGTGAACCGATTGTGTTGGTAGGATATTGTTACAGTGAAGCTAAATAGAAGCTATCTTCATGCTGTTTGTTTCATGACATATCCATATCATTAAGATAATGTCAAAACCTGCCATGAGTTTGTTTGTGACCCTCATCATCGTCAGTTCTGTAGACATCTGTACATAATATGTTCTTGCATTTTCAACCCATACATCCTCCTCGCGATGTTATACTATCTAGGGTAGGCTGAGTTGGCATTATTATTCACACAGCTAGGCCGACGTAGGGGTCATGTATCATGTACGACGTGTAGAGATACTCGCCTATTGTGTTCATAAGATTTTTATTGCAGTTTCACCCATGCTCTATGTTACAGAAACTTAAGGACCACATCATGTCATATGCCAGCTATATATGATAAATGCAAATATACAGAGTACTATCTCGAATGTTACAGATACCCAGATATATTGTTGAATGTGCTTTGGAGCTGGGTAATCTACGGTGTACGACCAGTCCCTATAAATCGCACTCTGTGTATTCTCTGGTTGTCTTGTTATCTTTGTTACACTCAGTATATATACTTTGCCACCACTGTATGTTACATTCCTGGTTGACAACGGTACGGAATCTGTCCCGAAACCTCGTAATAAACGAGCTGTTATCCATAAAGTTTGTGAATTAAAGCATGAGAATGATTCCTTTAATATGTGTCATTCACACAAACAAATGAGCGTGTTGCTGAAGCGTTTAAATAATTCCTTGACGTAAATTCACTCAAGACGCCATAATTGACATAATAGTCGCCATTCATACCGTAGGTTTTATCATTGAGATACATTCCTTAGCATGTACTGACATATGTAACAGTTTTGTTCATACATTTTACAATACGCTATTGGCAATGCACATTTTAACGCATCAACAGTAAATTAGCAATCCAAGCGTTTAGTGTCAGTGCAAGTAACTGTGCTACATGATCATCTTACAACATCATAGTTTCGATAAAGGTAACAACAGTGTCTATCGCATGTATAGTTCCCACCTCCACATCCCCACCATTTGATAGTTAATCAACCCTAATACTTTGGAAAAGATGTCACTCGTTTTATATTGTGAATAGTTCCACACTGACAGGTCACGTGAATAAGTCCACACTGACAGGTCACGTGAATAGGTCCACACTGACAGGTCACGTGAATAGGTCCACACTGACAGGTTACGTGAATAGGTCCACACTGACACTGAGTTGTCCGCTCGACTTGGAGAAGTCCAACTTGACCAAATCAAGTCAGTTTGTTCACAAATAGACCAAAGACATAGCAATGGCGCAGGCACGAGGTAGGGTGAACTTTTATTTCTTTTAACATCTATTTAATCATTTGCTTGATCTACAAGACTCATTCCTTTACTGACTAGCACAACAGTTGGATTATACTGTGAACCGATTGTGTTGGTAGGATATTGTTGCTGTGAAATAAATAGAAGCTATCTTCATGCTGTTTGTTTCATGACATATCCATATCATTAAGATAATGTCAAACCTGCCATGAGTTTGTTTGTGACCTCATCATCGTCAGTTCGTAGACATCTGTACATAATATGTTCTTGCATTTTCAACCCTACATCTCTCTCGCGTGATGTTATACTATCTAGGGCTGAGCTTCGGGCATTATTATTCACACAGCTAGGCCGACGTAGGGGTCATGTATCATGTACGACGTGTAGAGATGCTCGCCTATTGTGTTCATAAGATTTTTATTGCAGTTTCACCCATGCTCTATGTTACAGAAACTTAAGGACCACATCATGTCATATGCTGCTATATATGATAAATGCAAATATACAGAGTACATTCGGAATGTTACAGATACCCAGATATATTAAGTTGAATGTGCTTTGGAGCTGGGTAACAATCTACGGTGTACGACCAGTCCCTATAAATCGCACTTGTGTATTCTCTCTTGGTTGTCTTGTTATCTTTGTTACACTCAGTATATATACTTTGCCACCACTGTATGTTACATTCCTGCTTGACAACGGTACGGGAATCTGTCCCGAAACTCTCGTAATAAACGAGCTGTTATCCATAAAGTTTGTGAATTAAAGTATGAGAATGATTCCTTTAATATGTGTCATTCACACAAACAAATGAGCGTGTCTGCTGAAGCGTTTAAATAATTCCTTGACGTAAATTCACTCAAGACGCCATAATTGACATAATAGTCGCCATTCATACCGTAGGTTTTATCATTGAGATACATTCCTTAGCATGTACTGACATATGTAACAGTTTTGTTCATACATTTTACAATACGCTATTGGCAATGCACATTTTAACGCATCAACAGTAAATTAGCAATCCAAGCGTTTAGTGTCAGTGCAAGTAACCGTGCTACATGATCATCTTACAACATCATAGTTTCGATAAAGGTAACAACAGTGTCTAATGCATGTATAGTTCCCCCACCCCACATCCCCACCATTTGGATAGTTAATCAACCTTAATACTTTGGAAAAGATGTCAGTGATGTTGTTAATCTGAATAGGTACACACTGACACTGAGCTACCCGTTCGACTGGGAAAAGCCCAAATTCACCCAGATCAAGGCAGTTTGTTTATAAATAGACCCAAGTCATTGCAATGGCGCAAGCACGAGGTAGGGTGAACTTTTATGTTTCGTTTGAAATTTATTTGATCATTTGCTTGATCTACACGTCAAATTAATTTATTAGTTACTAAGACTCTTGGGTTACACTGTGAACTGATCGTATTGGTACAAATTGTTACTGAGCAATAAATGGAATGAATATCTTCAAGATGCTTGTTTCAAGACATATGCACGTTATTAAGGTAAGGTTAAAACCAGCGTGAGTTCGTACATCTCAATGAAAGGCTGTTCACCTTACACTGAGTTATCCGTTCCACTGGAAACATCCAATTCTGACCAGATCAAGACAGTTTGTTTATATATAGTCCCAGGTCATAGCAATGGCGCAGTCGCAAGGTAGGGTGAACTTATGGATTCCTTTTGATATGTCTTCAACTATTTATTTGATCTTCAATTCATATAAATTTACTGTCTCTCTCTCTCTCGTACAAACAGAATACAATAGAAGGGAAACACTGTTTCCACAAGCAACACATATATCAGTGACATATATAACATAATAGAGAATTGACTGACGACATACTTGTTTCTCCTATCAGTAGGGATGAGATTTTAATCAGTATTCAACACCTTAAACTGAATAAATCACCTGGAATGGACCAAACCATTTCTAAGCTTTTTAAGTATTCAGCGGACATTTTATTACCTAGAATTGATATTTAATGTGATATTTGAAAATGGATATTTCCCAAATTCTTGGTCTGTAGGTATTGTCGTCCCGATCCATAAACAAAGTGACTTGAAAATCACAGATAACTATAGAGGCATTACACTGTTGAGCGTATTTAGTAAGATCATTACATCCATATTGAATAAAAGGCTAGTCTTTTGGGCTGACACTTTTGATAAAATAGGTGAATCACGAGCCGGTTTTAGGGAAGGATACACCACCACTGATAATATATTTATTTTACATACAATTGAACAGATATACTTAAACCACAAAGAGGGGAGATTTTACGATCGCTTTGTGGATTTTACAAAGGAGTTCGATTCGGTTTGTAGAGATAAATTATGAAATATTTTACTTAGACATGGTGTTAGTTCTAAAATGAACAGAATATTGTGTAGTATATAATGAAAATGTAAATACATGTCTCAGAAATAATGGTGATTTGTCAGACACTATTACCAGTCAACTTGGAGTCAGACAAGGCTGTATCCTAAGTCCGTTTTTTATTTTCCTTTTTCGTCAATGAATTGGCGATCCTGATCCAAGGAAACTGTACAAATGGAATTCAGTTACATCCAGATATAATTCATATCTTTCTATTATTATTTGCTGATGATATCATGCTTTTCTCTAGTGGGTGGTTTGATCAATGAATTAGAAAATTACTGCAATGATTATAAATTGCCTGTTAATAAAACTAAAACAATAATAGTAGCTTTCAAAAAATGGTGGAAAATTGGCAAAAGGTGAAAAATGGTATTACAAAGGCGATGCTATTTCAACAAGTAATTCATAGAGAATTCTTCACGAGGTCTCATTACATACGAATTATACGAAACGAGTGTCCTTCCTATGGTATCTGACCGAGCGAAAGCGAGGTCAGATATCATAGGAAGGTCACGAGTTTCGTATAATTCGTATGTAATGAGACCGAGTGTGATATTTTATTTATTACCCACGTCTTACATGCATTAAATTGACAAAATAGCGTATTTTCCTTATGTTTTTGGTTTCAAACCGAAACCGGTTCCATAAAGAGGTTGCGGAAGAGTTTTGTACTGTAGTACGATATTTGCATGACGTCACACTGTAATGACGTCACTACCTTGGTAATCGATGTCACGATGCATGTCAGTTGTCATCGCCTCGTACAGCCTCCTACAGTAAACTACTCCGTAGCACCTCGTTTCTTGGTTTCCAGTTGCTTCATTCGGCTAACATCACTGGTGGAAACATTGCGTTTATGTTTGTCGACGGATATAATGTCTCAGTTCGACTCACAATTAAATGCATTTAAGTTGTAGAATTTTTCATGGCCCATGCATACAATTCAAGCCTCATTGCAAGTTAAAATATTTTAATAGGCATTATGAAATATATAAAAACACTTGGTGACTTATCATACAACTCATTTTTCACGATTTTTCTACCCTTTTATATGGCACCGAGATCTGGCAAAGCATTTTTGCTCAAAATGCAAAGCAAGGCAGAATCTTTTCCTTTTGTTGACAGAATCATATTCCAGGCAAACTGTTTAGGTCACAAAAATCGCATATTAAGCGCATAATTACTTCAAAGGTTAATGAGTGTGACAGGATGCGATAGGCATTTTTACATGTATGCTACACGAATGCGTTTATACTGCTTCACATGCATGTCAAATGAAACTGCTTTCATTCATGCAGTGAGTTTGATTAATGATTTTAGCAACATAATTACCCACAGAACAATTCAGGAAATCACAGGAACAGGTTGGAACCCTATCCGATACTGTGTCAAATACATAGTATGAAGATGAAGGCGAAAGTGGAAAATAAATGCATACAATCCATGTTATGTGCTATGACTGAAGGATCGAGGCTGTACTGAAAGTGGCGGTATATACGTAGCACTGGTGTAAGGTTGTTTCTATTCACAGGCCAAGGTTTATCATTTGAGCTTTGTATCATATGTCTGGAAACCAGTCAGTCTAAAAATACCCTCTACAACCAGACAGAACTGGGCATCTAATCCATTTTTGAGGCCACCCAGTTCAGGCACAAATTGAAACTTTGCAAAGTTCGGTCATCTGTAGACAGGCTTTCGTTCCTCTTTGAAGAAACTCCTGACGGCAACCCTAATCTAAAATGGCACAAACTCTGTTATTCAGCATACACAAATGAAGGAAAGATAAATGTAAGGCTTGCCAAGGAACAGTCCAATGCTTCACAAGGAAATGAACAGACTGGTGTTTCAGATGAAGGATACTGCTTTTTACGCAGGGGTACTTCAACAGTGAACTTGACGTTGTGTTTTTTCTGCCACAGCTCCGAAAGCAAGCAGAAGACGTGCCATGTTTCTGCCATAATAATACATTCTAAAGTGTGCACAAATGCACAATATGCACACAAGGTCTTTGAACGTATTATAGACGTGAATGATTTAATAGCAGCCGAAGCATGCTATCACATCGAAGTTAATTTCTGTGGGATGCCAAAAGGACATAAACTGAGAGCAAATGAGCTGATATGGCCATGGCTTGGTTGTGTCAGAAGTTATGTCACCGTGCAGAGAATGAACACATATTTGAATTGTCTGCTGTGTTCATGAGGTACAAAGAATTAGCCAATGAGTCAGACTCTATCATCCCATCATCATATTTCAGTAGACAGGGGACTTCAAGGGGACCTTTATCAAAGTGCATTGGGGTCACTTATGAATGTGTTGTTCATGTCACTGGAGCACGTTGCTCTGAGACTCTGCAGTGATATGTCAGATCCGGGATTCAAATGTTGTCGTGAGTGAAGAAGTAGAGTTGGCCAGTGTACCTCCTTCTGAAGAACGTGAAATAGGCGTGTATCTGATGTTGAACGGATTAAGAACACAGGTGTTCGTAGTATGGGGCAAGACATGGTCTACAGTGTTTGCGGGGACAAGGAAGCACCACCTAAACATGTTGGTATTGGTATGACGCTTCACCAGTCAACATGCACAGTCAAGAAAACTAGTTGAGGTATACCATATAGAATACTTGGCACATCATCAGTTACACCCGGGTTCTCCAAGCACTAGATCCACAAACTGGGGCAGTGTGTTCAAGGAACTTGGTCTTTGGGAGCTTTTCTCTTTTCTTGGGGGCAGGACACACTTTTGTGAGAACATCAAGCAAAATGGATTGGTACCTTGGTGCGAAGTGCCCTGTACTTCTTACCCTTGTGTTCTTAACCCGTTCAACATCAGATGCGCCTATTTCACCTTCTTCAAACTCATTATAAACATGACTTTGGCCACCAAGTAAGATGTTCAAAAGCAAGTACACTGGCCTACTCTGCTTCTTCACTGATATCACTGTGGAGTCTCAGAGCAACGTGCACCTGGGACAAGAGTCCACAATGCATTTGTTTCCTTTATCAAATGATAGGATGATAGAGTCACTGGTTAATTCTTTGTACCTCATGAACACAGCAGACAATTTACATTCGTGTCCATTCTCTGCATTGTGACGTAGCTCCTGACACAACCAAGCCATGGCTATATCAGCTCATTTGCTCTCAGTTTCTGGCCTTTTGGCATCCCACAGAAATTTACTTAGACAGTCAATATGATAGCATGCTTCGGCTGCTATTAAATCATTCACGTCTACAATACGTACAAAGGCCTTGTGTACATATTTTGCATTTGTGTCCAGCAGTGCATCAACTAACAAAATCCTCCGGCACAAAGATTCCTAAAACCAAATATGTGATAGCAAAGTCTTTTAGTACAGCCTCGATCCTTCAGTCATAGCACATGGCTTGTATGCATTTATGTTCCACTTTCGCCTTCATCTTCATACTATGTATTTGACACATTATAATAATAATAGTAATAATAGGGCATTTCTAATGTGCATATATCCTACTGAAGTATGCTCAGAGTTAAGCAAAGTTGGAAAGACATCAGGAAAGGTGTGGTTTTCAGTTTTGATCGGAAGCTAGAGAAGTCACGGGTGTTCCGGAGAGAGAGGGGAAGATCATTCCAGGCTGTTGAAGCTGCGTAGGCGATTGATCTGCTGCCGTAGCGAACACTGTTTGCTCTAGGAACAAGCAGAAGGTTTTTGTCCTGAGAACGAAGGGATCAAGCTGGTTTATATGGCATAAGAAGATTGGAGAGATAAGCAGGAGTGCATCCAGACAGGCAGCGGTAGGTGAGGCAGAGGAGTTTAAAGCGGATCCGGTTCTCGATTGGAAGCCAATGAAGAGATTGAAGAATGGGAGAGATGTGGTCAAACTTCTTCGATCTTCTTCTTCGACATGTGCCGCAGCTTTTTGGATTTGTTGAAGTCTCGGGATTTGTGATTTGTTTGCACCGGCTAGGAGAGAGTTACAACAGTCCAGGCAGGTCATTACATGGCATAAGGTGAGAGTTTTTGCCGAATCTATAGTCAGGTATTGCCTAATGGAACTGATATTGCGTAGAGCTGCAAAACAGATCCTAGAGAGATGTGGTATGTGATCATCCAAAGAGAGGTCGGAGTCAAGGATGACACCAAGATCTCTTACTTTCTGTGAATACTTTCTCCATCAAAATCAAGAGCATTCAATGAGCACTGGGAGCAACGTTTTTTTGCAGGGCCCAGTAGAATGCACTCTGTCTTTGAACTGTTCAATTTCAACATGTTGTCAAACATCCAGCTCTTGGTTTCCTCACAGCATTGTTGTAGGTCATTCAAGGCGGGTGTTGCTTGATCCATAGTGTGTAGGAAGACTTTGTACATTTTAGGAATCATAAGCAAAGTGAAGGCGATCAATATGGTGGGCTTCCATGATTTTCCCAAGATCTTTGATGTAAAGACTGAACAAGACCGGACCTAAGACCGATCCTTGTGGGACACCACAAAATAGATGAGCTGGATTGGAGTAATGATCCTCTATCAGTACTTGCTGGTGACGGGACGACAGATAAGACTTGAACCAGCATAGAGGTGCGCCATCAATGCCATTATCAGATAGGGTTCCAACCTGTTCCTGTGATTGTCTGAATTGTTCTGTGGGTAATTATGTTGCTAAAATCATTAATCAAACTCACTGCATGAATGAAAGCAGTTTCATTTGACATGCATGTGAAGCAGTATAAACGCATTCGTGTGGCATACATGTAAAAATGCCTATCGCATCCTGTCACACTCATTAACCTTTGAAGTAATTATGCGCTTAATATGCGATTTTTTCGACCTAAACAGTTTGCCTGGAATATAATTCTGTCAACAAAAGGAAAAGATTCTGCCTTGCTTTGCATTTTGAGCAAAAATGCTTGTAAGAAGTAGCTCTTAACGTAAAAACTAAAAGTCGCTCCATTAGGGAAATTTTTGCAAAAATACGAAATTTTTCCTTCAGCATTTCCATGAAATCCAACATTTTGAAATCCTGTGGTAACATTATTAATCAATATATTGTAAACTTAGTTCATTGTATGGATTGAGAATGATAAATAAAACACTTTTTTAAAAAATTGAATTTTGAACTCATTGACCTTTGAACCCAATTGGTGACCTAATTAGGCATTTTTGAGCTTAGCAAACAACAGATTCGTATTCAGCACGAAAAACTACCCCAGAAAATGTTGTTTGCTTGCTTTTACTCAAAAATGCCTCATGCATCCTTAAAATCCACATTTCTTAGAAATTTGACTAGTCTATTAAGTAAACACGATACATGTAAGTAATAACCGAAAACTGGACCTGGTACATGTACACAATGGAGAAACCTCTATGTTCTCTGTTTCAGGGAACATGTCAACCTTTAACCCCTTTGATATACTCCAGGATGAATTTGAACATCTGAAATCCAAATTACAACTGGATGGTACAAAACTCATAGACCATCTTTTCGCGAAGAAAGTACTCACACCAGAACAGATGGAGGATATGAACGTTTGTTTAGGAAACAGTAAGAAAATAAAAAATCTTGTTTTGTGGTTGACGAGAAGGCCGGCTGGAGACTTTGACCATTTCATGGAAGGACTCGAGGAGGATCAAAGTCCGAAATTTGAAAGCAGAACCTAAGCAAAAGAATACAAAAATAGATGAATAAAATATATTGTCGGCATGACATGGGTTTCATCATTAAGCTGCTAATATGATGAACATTTTTATCAGGCCATACTATTGCATGATTTATAACTGTATTATAACTTAGCAAGTCGGAGAGAGTGATATATTTACAAATGATCCAATGAAAATTCACTAGCCAGTCAGGCCAGTGACCGTGGAGATTTAATGGCCCGACCCGACTGGTCCACAGGTTTTGCGTAGAGCTAACGAAACTACAGCTGAAATATAATATTTACTTTTACCAATTTCAGTAGCATTAACTTATTATCCCAGTTTTTTCAACCAAACGTATTAATAATAACTTACACACGTCCTGCTTACAACAGTCCATGAAATGCATTGATTGTTAATGAAAATCCTTATCCATATCCAAGAAAGGATTGGCGGAGTTCATGCAGCGAATGGCGTGGCTTAGCTAATGTTTTATAGCATGATGAAAAGAAGCATATACTGGAAATTATAAGCGTCTGCTTGTCTTTTAAAGTGGCCATTTACGAGCCAATTTACCCGAATGTGTCATGCAAAAAAACACCCAACTGCTTAGTTTCTTCATCCATTCAAAACAATCTTGGTCTGGTTCAAATCCAAACTTCATTTAGAATATAACCAATAAATAAATTCCATGTCACAATAACCTTTGCCACTGAACATAGATACAACATACAACATTTATATTTCATCTCTAGAGAAAAAGGATGTTTCTGAGAAGGAAATCGCAGACGACAAGAAATATGTGGATAAAGAACATGACAATAACTCTGAGGATGAACGCACTGACAGTGATAGTGACAGTGAGGAAGGCAGGGGCCAGCCGGTAAGGCGTGTTATCTGTTAATATCAGTTTCAATACACACCACTCAAAACGCGATATGACACCTGTCAACTGCATGTGGTAGTGTGATTTTACTTTTCAACTTCCAGCCTCCAGATTTCAAATGTGCATTGTCACAATGTAAAAGGTCCCATAATTTATGGCAACTCTGAAACAGAACATATTGAATTAGACCCGACACTCACTGACACATGCAAAATCCAAAAACATTTTTCAGATGAAATATAAGGAACGTTGTTTTCCCCGATATTCTGACATATGCCAACTGCTTCCCTATTCCTTAGCCATAGATATAGTGGATGCATTCAGTGTTGAGTTCCCCATGAACAGTAAAACCATCTCACCCAAAAAAAAACACCACAGCACATACACATCTGCTCCCACGTGTCCAGCCGATAACTTCATTCTCTCCATTTTCGCCCAGTGAGTTTAGGAAACTTTCCATGTTTTCTTTTCCAAGCCATTCTATAATTTGGGGAATATTTTTATTTCGATCCTGCTTTTAAGTCTTATATTCATCATATTTATATATCGATTGTTGTTTCATGTTCCTGTTTAGTTAGAGTAATTGTCAACTTAATTACGACCCACGGTCTCAAAACTGTATAAGATCGGGATCCCAACATTGCAAGGTCATTCTTCCAATCGTAATCGTCTACAGAGAAGACCAATGAGCAGTCAGCAGAATGCCATGTTTTTTCCCCAAACAATCCTCCGAGGAAGATATTATTGTTCAATTCATTTCAGACGGTTGAGGACTCGCCCACATGTGACACTTCTAAAAGTCGTAATATGAGAAAAGCGTTGCCTTAAGAGCAGAATCGTTTGCAGAACTAGCAACATTGAAGACTTTGAAAAGAAATCTGTGACGAGGAAGCCATCTGCAGCAGTTACCCCTGGCTTCACGAACCCATCTACTATAGAGGAAGAGATTGAGACCTGCATGCAGGATTCTCAGAAGACCAGTGTGTTATCAGATACACAAGACTGACCATTCACCCAGGTTCCAACGGTTTTACAACCGCAAGTCATACAACGTCATTCATGGCTCAAGCACCTACCAGCGCTCTATCAAGAGACGTCAGAGGTACAGCCGCAGACCTTCACATAGCTGATAATCTTGAGGGTTTTTAGTGAAGTTCACAAAGGCTCAGATGAAGCCTACACCTTCTTTCAGTCGAAGGAAGCTCCCGCTACACACCACATGGAGGCAATTGACATAGCACCGGAAATGGATGAAGATTCCCAATCATGTGAAGTAGACGATAACATTTAGCACAACTGGATACTACTTCCGGAAGATCGTTCTTTAGACTGGTCATGTCTCGAGCTATGAACGAGCCCATGTTGAAGGCTTTAAGGAATCATCGGTTGGACTGAAAAAATAGTTCTTGCGCTGTAAACAAGAGTTCATATCAGATCGCATCAGTATTCATCTCCTATTTTCAGTGGTCTGATCTCTGGGAGCACCCACTATGTTTGCCACTATGGATCAAATGCTGATCAAATCTGCCCAAACAATGAACTCCGTATATGGGCAATCGATGCAGAGAACTCTAGTTTAGAAGTCGAATTTGTTGTATTCCGAGAGCGAAGAGAATTTCATCATTATAAGGAAAACGTCGGCCAGTTTTTTGTAAACTTTAGAATAGATCAAGAGAGCAATCCGACGGAGGTTCCAGTGTCAGACTTTCTCGGGGTTTTTTATGCTCAGGGTCAATTTCAGCTATCTACTTTGGGTGCAAAAGTAACCACATATTGGGAAAACTGGGAGATTTTAGCAGACCCATTTGTATCAAAGATTCTCAGGAGTTGTTACAGTCTGCTGTTAAAGAAGGACACTCCCTTAAAAATCGATTTTCCGAGGATAGTTTACTCCGAGTGTTCGAAACTAGTAATTCATTTCAAGTCAAAGAAGCGGTAGAGTTTGTTCAATCAAAAGACGTGAATCATGGGAGTTTTGTCTCATTTCTCGCGAAATGAGAAGTTTCAGTGAATTTACGGCCTGAACGCTTTTAACAAGAACTATCTTCAACAACCAGAGACGTCCAAGATGCTTTGATGTCCAGAGCTTAGACATTTGTTAGATTCAAACGATTATATTGCATGCATCGATCTTCAAGATGCAAATCCAAACATCCCTATTCATCAGGAATCCAGGAGATATGTACCAAGGCTAACATTGCCAATGGAAGGTCGTCGTAAAACAACAAGAACATTTCATTGTGATTCATATTTGTTTCAAATGTCCTTCATTTGATGCATATTTTGGTTCTTTGAAGCAAAATTTATTGTCGACTGACTTCTTTTAGCCATCTTTTAGCAATTGCTAGCGTTGCGTTCAAAACGCAGATTTTCACAGTATGAATCGTGGTCGGTACATCATTCACCATATAGAATTAGGTGTATTTTCCCAGTTAATGTCTATGGTCTGATCCAGTTTGTGATCACTACTCTGTTAGAGCGACTTGTTAAGATATGGGTTAGAACTTGTCTGCACAAACCAATACATGTCAAGCGACTAATAGGAGCGGGTGATCAGGATCGCTGACTTGGTTGGCACATGTTATCGTATCCCAATTAAGTAGATCGATGCCCATGCTATTGACCACTGCATTGTCTAGTCCAGAATAGATTATTTACAGACCGCCACCATATAGCTTGAATATTTCTCTGCGTAGCGTTAAACAACAAACAAACTATTTTAAAGCTGCCACACCAAGATACCAGGATGTTTATCCAACAGTCATGTAAAATGCATAAATCAGAGATTTTTCTACTCCCAGGTGAAGCTCATTAAAGATTTCGTAAGAGATCCACGGAAGCAGGATGTGACCTTGCATGTGAAGGTCATGAAGGTGGGAGAGTGGAGAAAAAGTCCAACAAGAAACAAATCATGGCCACTGTGGCTGATCCAACCTCAGCTGTTGATATCTGTGTGAGGGAGGAAAAACTCTTTGACAAGTTCAAATCAAATGAATGCATTATCCTGAGAAATGTCACCTGGACTAGGAAGGTTTTATTTGTTAAGTTCTCTTCCACGGCAACCTTTGCCGCGGAGATTCGGGTGCCAGAAAATATCGTTGCCGATGCTTTTGGGGAAGGAGACCCAGTGCCCATATCCGAAGTCCCAGAACTGCCTGAGTTGAGCAGGATTAGTTAAAGAGGAAAAATTGTGAAGGTTGGTGGACCTTTTACAGATTCTTAACATATTATTGGCAAGGCACAGCATTTTTATTGATAGCAGCCGTATGAGTTTTAGGTGTTGCCGCACAAACATGACGCTTTATTGTTGCGCCCATCTTAAATGCTACCAAATACAACCTTAAATGTCTATGTTATCGATGTTTCAGTGAAACATGGTGGAATGATTCATTAACATTTACTCTTTTATCCTGACTTGGTAATTGAGGGTGGATGGTATTAATGTTAAGACTCTGTCGCGAAATGTGTAAGTAATACATTATTGCAAATGCATGAAAGATATTGAATTATTGACAATGTAATAAATAGAATGTTCATTTATTTCCCTGAATGTTAACAAAGTGAGTTAATGATATTTGCATGTTATTACCGCATTTACTATATTTTGGGATTATTACAAAGTGCTAGTACTGTGACATGCAACTGACACATCCCTCGTACGACATAGTGATCGCACGTTGGAGTTTGTGTGATTTACACCGGAATTGTCTGTTTAGATTTACCATTTCCCAAAATAGAGAAGTGTATGATAAAATCACAAAATCGGATGTTTATTGACTTTGAAACTAAGACACTGCAGCTGAGACAACGTGTTGTTTAGAGTATCAGCGTATGTGTCTGTTTTACCGATATTAGAGTAACAACAGCCTTCTCAAGTTTTATACATGAAGTTTGAATAAGATAAATATGTATTGCACAGAACCCATCGCGTCTTGTTGTATCAGTTGTCTCTTTCTCTCCTCAAGCAATCCCCTCTAACAAAACGGAAGTGCTATGGGAAGGTGTTGTTATATTGCCAAGTCAAACTGATGGATGACACTGGTTTTGTGTATATGGACGTCTGGGGCGACATTGCAGATCAGATACAGATGGGCAGGGTCTTCAAGATTAATTCCTGCAAGAAACGAGAATCTGAGAGGTCCCTCGACTCATGGATCACAACAACACCCAGGTCTACTGTGACGGTAATCCCTTGGATTATGTGGTAGTGACTTTAAAGGGGCTTTTGCTTGCATTTCTTGCACGTCAGTGTTCCCAGTAACTGAGGCAAACTATCATAAAACATTGCACCCTGTAGTCAACTGGCCATTAGCGTGCTGAACTGAGTTGGTTTCAATTATACCGTACTGGGCATACAGGGCTTGTAGAGACTGTTTATATACTTTATCATAAGTCGGGTCAGTACTATGGCTCGATGAAATTATCGATAATCGGAAATATCGTTTATAGGCGAAATATATTAACGATTGTCGTATGAAAATTGTGTTATATATAATAACATACATTGACATTTGTGCAAGAATAAGTTTTAAATTACGCACACACCTTACAAAGGTGTTCATTCCAGGCTGCTTCCTCAGTTATGTTCTGTTTTCTCAATAATCCATGCAGAAACATGTCAGCACTCAACAGTGATGTGAAACATATCAATTTCCTGCAGACATTTTATTTTTTTCTTGCGTTTTTGCTCAAAGCTACTTTTCCAATATTTATCGATCATCGATCTGTATTTACTTAATGACAATCTACATCGATAGCCAGCCCTAGTCAGTACACATTTCAGGTTTAACCATTTCAGGATTATTTGCCATGTGTATATTAAATGATCCGTCATTTGTATTTCCAGTACCTACCCTCCTCAGAACTAAAACAAATCCAGAAGGAGCGTTACCAAAGAGGTAAGCTGATGGGGATCGACGTCACACCGTACATGTCATGTCCAACCCCCAGATGTTTCCATTTCCAACTGACAGACGGGCTATGTGAGTCGTGTCAGCGTCATATCCAAGACCGGGACCAGGTGATCTATGGGGAGGCCATCATTGACATCCGGACACAGAAAGGAAACATTCACCAACTGACCGTCTACTGGCCCGAGCTCTGCAAACTGTTCGGATTGTTCAAGAAGGACATCCCACCAGGAATCGATAAGGAGAAGATTGTCCAAACATTTATGGATCTCGCGGAAAAGCCCGTGAAGTACCAGGCATGTGGGATCGTCAGAAAGTTTAAACGGTAGACAGAAATACAGCCCTGGGTGTGTGATGTGCTGGCAAATTTGTGACCTTCTATCTCTTATATGGGTCAAAGACTATTTAGATGTAATATGGAGCTTTGAATCGTAGTGCTTATGGAGTAATGTGTGCTTTATTTATCACGTAGTGTGTATTGTAAATCTGAATACATGTTAAGGTGATGGTTTATGAGCTATAAGTGTAATGTAGATTCAGTAGATTGTAAATATTTTGGACCTTGAATTGGTACAAAGAACATCACAAACAACATTTGCTGACCAGGTAGACAGTGAGATGTATTCTGCAGCTTTGAATCATGGTGATGATGAATTATGTGCTGCTATACTTGTCATGTTGAGTTTGTGTCATTTGTAGTCATACATCAAGTCTTCACATATCTATTTTTCAAACTGCCTTTGATAAACATCTATTAGTTTTCGGTTTGGGTTCAACATGTCCATACTGTCATTGTCTTTCCAGGAATAGAAAATAGAAATAACAATTCCTTTCGCTGTGTTGAAATGAATATATGTTCTCATGCTGATGCCACATGCTCCCAGAAGCTTCAGGGACCATTCATTAAATGAAACAGAACTGTTTCTGAAATACCAGTGCTGTTACTGCCCTGATGTAAACTTAGGTTCAGTATTATTAGTTACACTGCTATACTGAGTCTAACAAAACCCTATAGAAGGCCGCGTCAGCTAACCTTTGAGCGACCTATGACCGTCCAATCAAATGCGAGATTTAACCGTTAACCGAACGGATTTAACCAATCAGACAACGGCTACTATTTAGGCTTCAGCGGGACTTACAAAATTCCCCGATCACTGACACTGATCTCTCAGCAAACGAAAATCACCATAAAACACAGATATTTGACCTGCAGTATATACGCTTAGGGACGTATATACGCATAGCCGAGGGACGGGCCCCTAGGACACAACTGTCCTGATATCTGCCGATGCAACGAGGAAACTATGGCAATAAGTGACTTACATCTCATTAATACCGCGTGAAATCAATTTTTATATCTTTTTAATTCTTAAAAATTTTGTGAATTTCCACAACCTTATTTGGGCCCCTCCAGTTTTTGACAATGAAATCTGTAGTACTATGAACGTTTTCTCAAGTGATTTGACTGGCTCATCCAAAATGCACGAGCATGGTGTTCCTGCACGTGCAATATTCAGGTAAAAACGCAGAACACGTGTTATACCTTTATTGAGCCAAGGAGTTCCATAAGGATGGAGACGAGTTGTTGTCTCAAATTGACTTTGAGGACTGAGAAGACTTTGAACTTACATCTAGTCAAGAGCAACGGCGCTTTAGTGAACCTGTGACTGGTGAATTTATCGAAGCTTTGCATCAAAATCGGATTCCTCAAAATACACAATGGAATACTAAATGGTGTGTAAACATCTACGACTCGTCGACGTAAAACAGAAACACGCGAATAGCTCAGCAAGGTACAGCTGCAAGTGAGCAGGATGTATAATGTACGTCCTCTCTCTGCTGAAATTCCCGCAGACGCCCTCGACTTCTGGATGTGTCGCTTTATTTGTGAAATTAAACGACAAGATGGAACCGTGTATTCGCATTGTCGGTCAAACATTTTTGTATCGGTATATGGCGCTACCTGCGTGACGTTTGTAAGAGACCCGATCTAAACTTCATGGGTGTGAATAAGCACGAATTCAGTAACTTTCGTGCCACTCTTGATGATGTGATCAAACAAATCAACCGAAAGGGTATTGGACTCTTCACGCAAAGTACAGCCTGTCACGCCTTTAGAAGAAGAGAAGTTGTGGGCCAAGGGAACTTTTCATCTGAGACTTCTTTTGGTTTGCTTCATGCAGTTTACTTCTACAACTGCAAAGAGTTTGGGTTAAGGGCGGCCGATGAACACGCCAATCTGGAAGTGAGTCAATTTGAGTTTGGCCGATATTCTGTTGGAGAATACGTGCGATTCACTGGGCGTGTCATGAAAAATAATTAGGGCGGGCTGAAGCAGTGTGGAAAGATTCAGTTGAAGTAAGTATTTTCCATACAAATATACTGACAAAGAAAGGAACGCAAATTCAGTCTTAAATATAACTATAACTTAAAATACAATCATCTCTTCCTATGTTCATCAGCAGTTTTAACCTGCGAAAGGTAGTTTGCGTGAACAACTCAATGGTAAATCTTTAATTAGCGAAACCAGCACTTTCGTTTCGACAGTAAAAGAAAAAAGATCACGGTCAACGTTTGAATTTCAATTGAAGTATGTTTATACGATTTTAGTCGCCACGGGTGTATATAAAGTGTTTGTTCGTTTCAGGGATATCAAGCAATACGCCCAACCTGACAACCCACGGTGTTTTGTGGGACTTCTTAAGACCTACTTGGCAGCAATATCGACCGAGGGTCCTTTCTACAGACGACCTCTTGCAGCCAAGGACGGAAACCTGCAATACTAGCAACAGAAAGTTGGGATACACACATTGCAGAAAAAGTTCAAGACAATGTGCAACGAGGCATGTCTAGATGGAAGATTTACTGGCCATTCAGGAAAGGTACATTTAATTCGATTCCATGACTTTTTAGTACATGAAACGCTAAGTAGTGAAGTATACTCAACAACAAATTTAGGACCATCCCAAAATCCAATACTTAAGTGTTATGTACGTCATAATATGAACTTTATATACTTTGATATTGAAAATTGGGATGGTCATTAACATTTGTTTCGCTTAGTATACAAACGATGTCTGTTTAAAAAACGTTTTGCTACTTTAACACCAAAAACTGATTAACCAGTGAAAGTGTTCTCTTCAATTGTAACATTGGTGTGCCAATAAAACATTTGTACTTTCTCACAGCGAAATGTTAATTTCTTTCTTCAGGTCACTTTAGCGACAACCCTCTTCAACGCAAAAGTTGACGAGCAGCTCATCATGGCGAGAACAGGCCACACACACAATTCTGTGAGGGTTTACAAGCGCGCCTCTGAGGAAATCAACAAGCAAATATCGGACAAACTCCAACCACCTCCACCTAAGACGTCAGAACGAAAACAAGCTGCCACAATCGACGATGGCAACTATGACAACCAGAAGTCACAGTCCAAAAATGTTGTTATCAAATGTAAAAAAAACGGATGGATCATCCTTAGAAATCTTATTCTATGTAGCATTGAATAAACTGACAAATCGTCTTGACTTTTCTGTTAGTTAGAATGTTATGTTCGTTGAGTGATTCAAGAACTGATATCTTTGGCAATGTGAAAATAACTCATTATTTTTTGTTTCCACGTTTTGATGACGTCACGATGTAGCTTAATGAAGATTTTCAAAAGTGTCCTTGTATCTGATATCAGGACACTTTTCGATAAAGAGTCCTGATATCGATAATTAACAGGACACTTTAATGAATGGTTGCCCCTGGCAACAAGGTGTTAGTGGGATGTAAGGTTGCCATTAGCTAATATTTCCACAACCTGATATCATTGAATATTGACAAAAACGCTATTTTCAGCGACTGTTTACTCACTATTGTGGCGTGCTCCATGAGCATCACTCGGAAGCGATCGTACGTAAATTACCATTCGGAATCGTTCGGGTACAAACTTTTTCGAGGTAAAAGTTCAAAAGGTATGTGCGAATGTCAGCTTTCGCGATTTAGTAAGCTGTGTTCTAATTATTGATTTGCAAAGGTTAGCTGAGTTTTCTTAGACTGGACAATTTCAATAATAGTATGGAAAATCTAAAGTTAAAGATAACATTTACAGAATCTTAATATTATTAATATGAAAAATATTCTGGTTTTGCTTTAGGTTTTATGTCAAGACTTCATTGTATTTTCTCAATTTCCGACTTTCAAAAGTTAGTTATCATTCACGTTGAACAAAATAGATAACACTGTGGACAAATTTGGTAACAGTATGGACAGATGTTTGTAGAGTTATCAAAAGGCTTCCTTTAAAGATATGTGTACATAGATGGCTGTAGTCTTATGTTAACTTGTAAGGATTCTTAATATTTTCATAGCATTCTAAAGCTAATCATAACATTTACAGAATCTAGCATTATTAATATGAAAAAAGAAATGCTCTGGTTTGGGTTTAAGCTTTATGTCAAGACTTTAAAGTATTTTCTCAATTTTCAACATGTCAACAGGTCAAGAAGTAACACTGTGGAAAGAGATAACTGGAGTATTACGTTAGCTTGAAAGGATTCTTTACATTTCATTGCATTCGTTATGGTAACGTGGGTTATAAACATGGATAGACCTTTCATTAAAAAATGTGAACAAAAGTACTATTGAATTTTTTTTTTCACTGCGGAACGGCACATGTTCATTTAATTCTATGATAAAATTAAAATACTAAGCAAATTAAATAAAAGGATGCCATTGTGTGGTGTTGGCAATTAATAAGTTTTGGAAAAAATGCTGTATAACATTCTTCATAATGCATAACTTTATATTTAAAATTAGCATACCAGGTAGAGGTTATTTTTACAAACATAGGATCATGAATATTTTCATTATATTATGATCTTAATGACATTGTGTGATTAACTTTCACTTCAAATGATATGCCCCAAACTATTTATGATCACTAACGGTATTCTATAGAAGTCACACACATTAGTGTCATGATTTACAGTACAGGATTATACACAAATGTTGACTTCGAATGAGTTTAGAAGACAGAAGTTTTGAACTGAACATAAGTTCTCTAGATAAGCTTATATTATTGTAAGGTATGGATTGCTTGAGGCTCTTGTAACCAAACTGCTGCACATTAAAATACATTTAAATAATCAACGTGTTTTCTTCATTGGCTTTATTTACATTACATTGGCATGCACATTGTATCAGTTTCGAGTGAATGTTGTTAAAGCCTCATGTCTACAAGAATGTGTATTGGACGTTAGTCCATGATATCATACAGGTTATTATAAACAACTAAAGTCTGTTGACATTATTGCCTCTTGCATTACCTCAATTACCTAATTACATACACTGGAACTAATTCCGGTTCCTGTATAAAACCAAACTGAGTCTGGATATTAATCCGGTTATTACAGCCAAGAGACAAGTAAGAGATGCTGAGGATGTAATCTGCCACGTTGGGAAACAAATGTGTTACTGAGAATCATCATTTGCTTGATAACGGTGTTAGTAGCTACACCGAAACGTCGCTCATATATTAAAGAAGGTCTTTATCCATAGAACTCTCCTTGTTGTTCATCATACCACCTTCTAAATGCCACTTAAACAAGTTAATCTACTCTACTCTATAACAGAACAGGAGTTAAGCCAGGAAAAAAAATGCCGTGTTCAACAACTTCTACGTAAAAGGTCCAGGTACCATGTAATCCCAAATTATAGGGTAAGTAAAAACGAGACAGTTTGATGCAAGGTACCCATTGTAAAAAAGTACGTTCATTTTATTGATATATCTGCATGGTGGGATAGATACATCTGTAATAACTGCTACATGAGTCATATCATGAAACATAGCACAGAATTCCTTCAGTGACAAACAAAGAGTTCTGGTCTTAGAAGTATTACTATATAAGTCAAAGGCAGCTATGGCAGCCATTTTTCAAAATGGCCGACA